TTCTTAAAGGAAAACAAATCTGGGGGCCATTAGATGGCATGATGGTTAAGGCGCTGGACTCCCACATGGTCAACCACAGTTTGAGTTCCGAACCAGGTGGCTTGCTCTCTTACTTTCTCTCTCTCTTTCCCACTGGTGAGTGTGCATGCTCTGTAACAAATTTAAAAACTAATAATAATAATAATGAAAAATAAAATAACTTTTTTTTTTTATAAAAAAAGGAAAACAAATTTGGAAGGATGTAGGAAGGAAGGACAGACAAGTAAGCCTTGGGACTGAATGTGATATTATTAGAACAAACAAGTGAGAAATGAAAAGTCAATGTTTTAAGGTGGGGATGGTAAATACCTGGCTGTCATGCCCATATCTTCCACCTCTTGCCCATAATAGGTACTGCTAATCCATACACTCCTTGCTTATCTATTCGAATCGTGGCCTCAAAACTCTTTTAATTTTCCAGATAATCAAGTGCTCAGCTGGAATACTACATAAAACTTCTTCCTAACCCACCAATAAAGAATTACAGCTTTCAGCAGACTGAGTTAACACCTACTGTTAAATGGCTTTCTGTACATAGTGCTCTGATCATAAAGAAAAAGAAATGCCTTTAAAATGACAGGGTTCCATTTGTATAATCCCTTAATTCTATCAACACAACACATACAGCCTCCCTACAAACAGAATAAAGTACAAGAAATTGGCATTCTTTACTTGCTACAAAGGAGATAATAAGTTATGCTTTTTCTTTACTAAATTACTACTTGTCTAGCCACTGGAAACAACAGTAATAGAAGCATACTTGTTGAAATTTACGAGGTACAGAAAAGTAGTCCGTGGCGCTGGCCCATTCCAGTGGATGGTGTAGCCCTTCTGCAGCATGATCACAGGCTGGTACTGCGGGAAGGCAGCCTTCTGGTTAATGCCGCGGAGCACCATCGGTTGGGATGGATACTCATCCCGTGTAATAGTCATACTAAGATTCTGAGTGCTCCATGTCTGTACATAGACCTTTAAAACATAACAGAGAATTAAAGGAAAGTTTAAATGGCTAGAGAAACATTTCCAACACAAAGTCGAGAGTCTTTATGAAAAGAGAGGCTCTCTGATCTGTGCCAGACTAAACGAGCAGTGGCCAACTACATCCTAAGCCCCACTTACCATGCAGTCTGCTTGCCTAGGAATGGGAAAAACAGACCCTGCGTTTTGTCAGCCAAGATCTTCATCATCTCTTCCACCACTACGGGCCAGCTTACCCCTCAGAATATGAAACTTCTGTGGCTTACATAGCCTTGCACAGAAATGTAAAGAATCCACATACAAAAAAATTAGTAAGCTACTGCGAAAACTGATATCTTCTAAGTCAAAGCTAAGAAACTTTCCTCTAAACCAAGAGATGGAAAATTTATGTATTTTGGAGTTTTGGTGTTCAATTTTCCATGGTCGACATCAGCCCAAGAAGTTATTTTTCACCCACTTGAGGGGAAAAAAAGTTACAAAGTGCTCTGTAATAACTGGAAAACGTATTAAACTAAGACAAATTTGAAAGTCCTAAATGTATTCCAGCAGCATCTGAGCCACTTGCCATGCCAAAACCAAACCTTTCCCAAATACATCCTCCAAAGGCTAGACCTCAGGACAATTCCTGAAACAAATCAGGATTCAGTAACCAAAATCTCCAGAAGAATTGAAGCATTTGCAGAATACTGACACTGCAATTGCTTTTTTCTCTGTTATTTCTATAATCTTTTCCGTATTGACTCTATTATATTCCCTTGGGGCCAGAAAGTCTTCCTAACTTTCATTCATGTTATTACTTCAATTTAATATTCTTCTTTACTGACATAACTCAAAGATTTACGATAAAGCTATAGGAACATATTTAAAAGCACAAGTTTATTTTGATACAAAAATTTTGTTAAATCCACATATAATTTTTTCATACTATATGTTTTCCATGAACTTTTTGGGACCCCACCCCTGCCTTCTTCCCAAAGATGATTTGAAGTGGCACAAGTAACCCTAATTCTCCCTCTGTTATCATCTTTCTTTCTGAACACCTTTATCTTTCAGGCCAGCAAAGAGCAGATATTCCATTAAAAAATATTTACGAATAGCTAAATAGTGATTATTCTGTTCTGAGACCCAGTTCCTTCCTTTTGCCTGCAAGCACATACGACATTACTTCTAAGTAACAACAAATTGCTGTAGATCTGGGCTTCTAGCCCAAATTCTAAATTCTCAGGAGAAAATTTGTGATCTGTGCTCCTTCTATTCCCAGAGCCTTCTGAAAAGTGGTGGAATACTCATTTCTTTCCTCAGCTATAAATAAAAATGAACTCAGTGCCCTGCTTTGTAAAGTACAGGGACAGGTTCCTATTCTCAAATACACTAGAAATCCAAAGGGTATATGTAATCTTTCAAGTAAATGTTGAATAAATGACGAATATATACTTACAGTAAAAACCATGATTTATAAAAGTAAGATCTATTATAACCATGTGTTTTATAAACACACTTATAATAATTTTAAAAAGATAAAGGTTTTCATTAGGGAACACCTACCACTTTAAGACATTCAGATAATATCTGCACCTACATGAATTCACATGGCTGGCAAGAAATGTAACTGAAACTTGAAACCAGTAGTTAGTATAATGGCTATGTCGCCAAACTCCCATGTAGTCGACCACGGTTTGAGTCCCAGACCTGGTGGCTTAAACTCACGTCAGGCACGTGTGTGTGCGTGCCCAAGATCCCGAGAGGAGAATGGAGGAGAAGGGATTGCGGCGTGGCCAACCCCCCTGAGGGGTGATTTCTCACTTTCTGCCTCTCTCTGTCTTTCTGGCGAGCACACATGCCCTATAGCAAAAAACCCTCTCAAAAAAAAAAAAAAAAAGTAACCAAAACTAAGACTAATAGCTTTTTTTGGTCTCGGCTTTAATTTTGTTTTAATTAGTATTTCTGTAGATGTCTAGGTGTTGATGTCTAGGTATTAATTTGGGGAGTGGGGGCAATTCTGATTAAGAATGAAACAAATGGGGCAGGTGGCATGGTGGCCAGGGTGCTAAATTCTCACATGGCTTACCACAGTTTGAGTCTTGGCCTGACGACTTGCTTTCTCACTTCCCCTTTCTCTCTCTCTGGTCAAATTAAAAAGTAATAATAACAAATAAATAATTCTTGAAAGAATGAAACAAAGAGAAAAAAAAATTTATACTTGAAGCTAGTCTTCCCTTTTTTGTCCTCTGTTTCTTTCTTATCCTTCTAGGACCTGGGCAAGTATTACTTTCACGGGAATGGGAAATTCCACAAAAACTAAGCCAACACCCCCATTTATAATAAGCCAGACACTCTCCAGTCTTTATCCCATTTAAGATAAAGTAAGTCTTTTCTACACATAAGAATTTACAGAGTTTTAAGTTTTTAAATTAAGAATAATGTTATGTAACAGTCATGATTCCAGTCAGAAGGACAACAGGGACTCTGCTCTAAGAATCTCCAACTATGGAAGGCTAAGGCAGTAGAACCACGTAAAACTCAGAGGCTTGGACACGTGGCCAGCAGGAGCCTGGGAACACGCCTTTGACAGACAAGTACCCAGAGATCAGCAGAGGGTAAGAAACAGCACAGAACTGCTCAGTCTCCTGGAGAACTGACACTACGAATAAGAGCATCTAGCAGCAAAGCAGCCAGGGAGGCTTCTTTCCTGCCTTTCGGACTACCTAAAAAACAAAACTACATCTCAACCATATTTAAGGGTAAATCATCTCACTTCTCTGGGACTTTCTTTTTTTTATTATTATTATTATTATTATTGGAGAAGTTTTTCGCTATAGGGCGTGTGAGCTTGCCAGACAGAGACAGAGACAGAAAGCGAGAAATCACCCCCCAGGGGGTATGGCCACGCCGCAATCCCTTCTCCTCCATTCTCCTCTCGGGATCTTGGGCACACATGCACACGTGCTCGGCATGAGTTTTAAGCCACCAGGTCCAGGATGCGAATCACGGTCGACTACGTGGGAGTCCAGCGACATAGCCATTACGCTAACTGCTGGTTCCCTTTTTATTATTATTTTTAAAAAGATTTTCCTAAAGAGTGTGTGCGCTTGTTAGAAAGAAAGAGTGAGAGGAAAAGTGAGAAATCAACCTACAGAGGGGATGGCCACGCTACAATCCCTACTCCTCCATTCTCCTCTCAGGATTCTGGGCACGTATGCAAACATGCGAGCCTGGCATGTTTTTCAAGCCACATGCTGTTCGAGCCACTGGGTCCAGGACTCAAACGCTTGTCAGTGATGTGGGATCCAGCTGTCTTATCCTCTGCACCACCTGCTGGCCCAGGACTCACGTTTTTCACCTGCTAAATATATTTGAGGGTAGGAGAACTTTAAGTAAAATTCTATGGATCCATGGCTCCCAGTAAATTTTCTTTTCCTGCCCCTCTCCTCTCTTTTTTTCCTTTAAGAAAACTCGTGCTCTGGAAAACATCGACCACACTGCAAAGCTGAAGAGTGCCCTCACAGGGCCGTGCTGCGAGGAGATGGGGATGCAGGCTTCAGACTGGCCTCTAAATCTACCTGGGCGTAGGCCCCACTGCAGACTACTGCGTTCCATTTGGTAACGTTTACACAGCCTGGATGGCGGATCAGGTAGTTGTCCATTCTTCCCACGTAAGCATCCTTGTATCCTGTCACAGAGCCATCTATGTCATGGAATATGGAGTTCTTGTCACCATCCAGCTTGCAATCTTCAAACCAGGGACCCGGCTTTCCAAAGAAGACATTCAGAGAGACCTGACAGCAGAGAACAGGGACGTCACAAAATGAGAGCTCCTGCCACCTCGGTATCCTGTACAAATATCCAGCAACACATCCATTCCAGCTGCTTTCGAGTTAAAGCAGTCAGTTCTGAGTTAGTTCACTGCTGCCACTCTGGCACCCAGTGAGTCTGAATTTTCTACTTAATGACATGCTTAGAGGAAAAAAATCCCCAAAGTCTTATGGAGTTCAACTGCCCGTTGTTAATTAACTTTATCATTGTCTTTTTTTGTTGTTGTTGCTGTTTATTTTAAAACCATTACCTGCTCTGCAGACAAAACTAACCTGTGGGACCAGTAGATGGCGTAATGGTTATGTCACTGGACTCCTATATAGTTGACCATGGTTCAAATCCTGGACCCGGTGGCTTAAAACTCATGCCAGGTGCGTGTGGATACATGCCCAAAATCCAGAGAGGAGAAGGGAGGAGAAGCGATTGGGGCATGGCCATCTCCCCCTGGGGGGGTGATTTTTCACTTTCTGTCTTTCTATGTCTCTATGACAAGCACACATGCCCTAGAGCCAAAATTCCTCTTATATAAATAATTAATTTGTGATAAGAGAAACCAGAACAGTAATGGAAAGGGCACTATGTCATGTATATATTTGTTAAAAACTATAAGCTGTACATGTAAGATCTGTGCTTTTCCCTGTAAGCAAACTTACAAATTATAGTACTTGATTAAACAGAAACTATTATAATTTCATCTTCAGTACACTTAATTTCACTCCAAATGTTTTAGTTACTTGTTCATATGGCTCCCCCCACCAAAAAATTAGTACAGTTCAAAAGTGAAACACGATTAAAGTGTGGGCATAAGATGGCTGGGGTTTTGCCAAATTCACAACCTGATGAAGTTACCGTCTCTCTCCCTCCTCAACACAATCAACCCTACATCAGTAACTTCCATGTCAGGTAGAGTTAATTTAAAGGCTTCACTTAACACATAATATGCAGCTACGAAGCAGGCTGCAAGCGACATGTTTACAGTCTGCAGCTCTTCCTTATTTGCAGTAAATTATCAACATTGTTGCAGTCACAGATACCCTCTATAATTCATTTACACACTCATCCCCCTGGGATATTTTTAAATCAACAGAATAGCTAAATGATAAGCAACTCAAAGGAAAAGGGTGAGGTTTGGGACAAACACCTTCAGTTTCTATGGGTTTCCCTCCTTTTTCTTTGTGCTTCCTATGGCTATACCTGAGAAAATTTTCAAGCATATTTTCCACCTTTTTAGGTATTAGGCCTTCAGGAAAGTCATGATGTATTCTTCTATGCAAAAATTGTATCATGACTTTCTCAACGACCCAACAGAACAAATTTTGCAAACTGTAAGGCATCACCACCATAGAAAACTCCAGGTCAGATAACCAGCTGGACTTCCAGCATGGATACTCTTATAGGTCTATAACCGTAGGACGCCTACAACGAATGCATGTGTGTGGTCACACGTGGAAGACTATGGGAAGACTTTGGGGCAGTCCTGTGGGTAGCAAGTGCACAGCCAAGCCCCACACCGCGGGGGTGATCCAACAGTCACCCTGCTTATTTCTGCAGGAAGCCATCTAGTGGTCTAGCTCCACTCCTCCCTTGAGTGATGTGGCCTGAAAGAGAACCAGGCCACCAAACTAACATTCCAAGTTGTACCTGTGCCTCTGTTCCATGCCTCATTCATCTAGAAAACCAGGTACAGACTTTGGTAAAGGTATCTCAAGCTTTATTTTGATCTAGGCAACCACAGCTTTTGTGTGTGGGTGTGCATGAGACAATGACAAGCTCTTTTCTAGTTGCAGCCACCCGTGAAAGCAGAGAGGAGCTGGAATTTAAGACTCATCTCTGCTTTGCCACAGCCATCAAGGACCTGGTGAGAGGGTGAAATCAGACTGTCCTGTGTATTAGAGATAAAAGAGGTACTGGTGAAATTGCTAAGAGAACTGTTTCCGTGCCTTGTAAATAATAACTTCTAAGTCTACTTGGCGATCTTCAGGAAAAACTTTCCAACTGTTTTTATATCAGAAATAACATAACTTATATCACACTGTTCCAGTATTTCTCTTTATTTCCAATGTTTCATCCTTTAATTATTCAGAAGAATAGCTGTCAAACAAGTAAAAGACCAAGCAGGACCCACATTTTTTGGTAGACATGGGTTACTCTACAAAATCATTACATTGAAGTCTCCCAAATCACAGGCCCTGATAAACTCTACCATCTGGGCCAGCTCCACAGCCCAGTGGTTAAGGAAGTTGGATCCCACATGGCTGACCATAGTTCAAATACTGGGCCTGGTGGCCTGAAAAACATGCTGGCAACACGCATTGTGCTTGCTCAAAATCCCAACAGGGACCAGCAGTTAGTGTAATGGCTATGTCGCTGGACTCCCACGTAGTTGACCGCAGTTCATGTCCCAGACCCAGTGGTTTAAACTCATGCCAGGCACATGTGTGTGCGTGCCCAAGATCCTGAGAGGAGAATGGAGAAGGGATTGTGGCATGGCCATCCTCCCTGGGGGGTGATTTCTCGCTTTCTGTCTCTCTGTCTCTCTCTGTCTGTCTGGCGAGCACATGAGCCCTATAGCTAAAAAACAAAAACAAAAACAAAACAAAGCAAAACAAAACAAAAAAACAAAAACCTCTCCAAAAAAAAAAAAGAAAATCCCAACAGAATGGAGAAACGGAGAAGATACTGTGGTGTGACCACTCCCCATGGGGAGGGAGGGTGCTTTATCCCTCTCTCTTTCTATGTCTCTCTGGCTAATAATGCACATACCTTCTGGCAAAACAAAAGCAAAAACAAAACAACAAAACAGAAACTTTCTGATCTCCATGTCATTACTTTAAGCCATTTTCTCTTTCAAGATTATCACACACTGTGAAACACACGCTAGGTTACACGGGACTTCTACTCTCACCTGGAATTCAAAAAGACAGTGCATGAAATTAAGAGCTGCTTTTGTATATATTTCTCCTCCCAGTCCTAAAGGATTTGCTCTTCTGCCAATGTGAATCCTTTGTTTCTCCATGCTTTTGTCTCTGGGAATGGGCTATCCTTGCTTCTTCCACCATAATCACTACACAGGAATTGCTGGAACGTACTTACATGTGGCCCGAACTTCACAAGGGAGATGTTATTCCTGGGGGTTATCTGCCAGGAATTCTTCATGAGGAAGCCAATAGCACTGCTGTACCTATCTGGAGTTGGCTCGTATTTTTTGAAAGTGCTTCTGGTGAGATGAATGGGTCCATCGTAAATCTGAAAGCCTCTAATTGGGAATGTCCTGTTGAAATACAAGACTTTGTTTAATCACATGGGTCTGTCCCCTTAACAGCAGTTCATTTACTTATTTGTTTTATAAATATTGCAGAATAGCCTGTAAGCGCTAAGCAAAATTCTATGATATAGTCTATCCAAGACAAAATTCCCAATTGAATAAACATGTATTTTAATGGAAAAGACAAACAGAAGCACAAAGGACAATTTCAGGTAGTAAGTGCCATGGAGACATGAAGACAATAATACAGTATAATAGACTGGGTAGGGAGAGAGGTGCTATTTTGGATACAACAGAGGCCTCTTTGAAGAAATAATTTTGGCTTCCTTGAATCAGTTTAGGTAAGGTTTTTTTTTGTAACTCATATACTTTCGTTTTAATTCCAAAATCTCTAGCCATGAGAACAAAAGATAAGTCTGTGCTTAAGCAGAGAGAACTTCCTGTCAAGACACTGAATGAGAGTAAAAAGGAGAAATAGTACACTTAAAAGTATAAAATCTTAAGTCCCCCAGGCTTACTATGCCAAAAGGGTTAGTTGGATCAAGAATTTCATTTTATCCATTTTCTCTTCTCTGTTCAAACACAAACTCCCTAGTCTATTAATCATAAATCATTAACTGTAATTAATGTACTTCACCTATAATATCCTGAATTTCTTAGATTTCTTTCCTATTAAATTCTTTTTTAAAGGAGTATTTGTTTTATGTTATTATTATTATTGTTACTATTTTAATTTGCTATAGGGAATGTATGCTTATCACAGAAAGAGAGAGAGAGAGAAAGGTGAGAAAGCAAGCCACCAGCCAGGTCCGGGACTTGAACAGCAGTCAGCCACATGGAAATCCAGCACCCCAACCACCACACCACCTGCTGCACCCCTATTCAATTCTCCTATGGCATTACAGAGGATTTCTATAGCAACTAATCAGTATACAACCTCACAACTTGGCAGTGTTTACAACAAAGCCAACTAGCCTAACGAGAAAACCAAATAGCCTGGTAAAACAAACAAACAAAAAAACACTATGCATCAGGCCAGCAGTTGGCATGGTGGTTAAGGCAGTGGATTCCCACGTGGCTGACCACAGTTCGAATCCCAGATCCAACAGCGTAAAAATCACACTGGGTGAATGTATATGTATGTCCAAAATCCTGAGAGGAGACTGGAAGAGATGGGATTGCAGCGTGGCTATGCCCTCTGGGGGAGAGTATGATTTCTCACTCCCCACCTGTCTTTCTCTGGGGAACACATACAAACTATGGCAAAAAACTTAAAAATAAAATTCCATGCATGATAATGTATTTTTATACATATATCTCAAAATGATTGTCTTCTTTTTTTTTTTTTAAAGGTATAAAGATATAGTCAAATAAACACTGGATCCATTAATCAATAGAAATTTTTGCTTTGGAAAATCCTCCTTAGCCAAAGCAGCAATAAGCATGTTGATATAAAACTGGTTATGGGGAACCAGCAGTTAGCGTAATGGCTATGTCGCTGGACTCCCACGTAGTCAACCGTGGTTCGCGTCCTGGACCTGGTGGCTTAAAACTCACGCCAGGCGCATGTGCGTGCATGCCCAAGATCCCGAGAGGAGAATGGAGGAGAAGGGATTGAGGCATGACCATCCCCCAGGGAGGTGATTTCTCACTTTCTGTCTCTATGTCTCTCTCTGTCTGGCGAGCGCACGTGCCCTGTAGAGAAAACCTCTCAAAAACAAACAAACAAAAACAAACAAACAAAAACTGGTTACGAATATAAAATGCAAAGAATAGAATTCATTCAACCACCATTGTACTGCCACCCCTACCCAACTGATTTTTTTTGTTTTGTTTTGTTTTGTTTTTTGTAAATTTACACATTAGGTGAGGCAGCAGCGGTCTAATTTTGAATAGCACAGCACTGAAGTCAAACTAAGTGGGTTTGAATTCTAACTCTGCTACCTTTAGTAAGTTACTCATTTGGAAGGATGGTGACAATACCTATACCTTGTGAGGCTTCATAAGGATTAAGTGACTATGAAGCATTTAGAAGAGGACCTTACATCATAAGCATTTAATAAATAAATGTTCACTATTAAAAATCCATGAATATCTTTGCCTAGAGACTTCTGTAGTCTGAGTTCTACACAGTACCATATACGATGATGCACAACATCCCACCATGATGTCAAAGCACACTAGGAAAGCTCTTCCCCCACCCCTCACTCTATGCCCCACCCCTCAATGCTAGGTCTAGTTGTGTTATTGGTCATTCACCTGCCTTGTCCAGAAAGCCCATTTCTTTCAGGGAGTTGACTGTCAATGAATTAAGACAGTCCCAGCTGCGAACCCCTTAGAACACCATTTCGTTTTTCCACCTGGTTTTCTCACAAGTAAAATAAGGAGAAATCCAAACCGTGTCTCGGAATGGAGGTAGCACTTAATTAGTTAATAGCTCCCTAAAAGCTTTGAAGACTTTTTCTAGTGCTAACTACTCTTTTAATGACTCTGTGATTATCATGATAGAAAACATGCCAGAAGTCTACTCACATCTCCCTTCAACATCTAAAACACTGTTAATTACACGGTTTGGTTAGGTTTTAAGTCAGCTTTGGCATTCATCAACTCTTATTTTCTAGGACTCTTTTCAGTAGGTAATTTCCTTTTTCCAGTGGCTATTTCTGAAAACCAACATCGCAAATGGAGCGAAAACTGATCTAATGTCATAGTTTCTGGTTTGGCAACTTTCTATGGCTCAAGAAAAAAAGAAGAAAAAAAAAAAACCACCAGCTTATATAAGGTCTTATATAAGGAATGAGAAACAAGTAGGCTTCTTTGTTATAAAATTGATAATGAAATCTATGAAATGTTTAATAATTAGTGCACAGAAACTCCAGAAGAATACACATGATAATACAGTAGTAATAAGAATAGTAAGAGTAGGAACAGGAGCAATCTATCCAGGATTATTACAGAAACTTGAGGGTGAGGTGAAAAGTAGAACCCTCTACCACTAACGCGGAGCTTACCTGTTCCTAGGTAATGTCCGAGGCTTCTGGTCTATTCCTCCAGTGCCTACATACTTGTTCTGACCACCCTGAAAGCCGTAATTTCTGCTCTCACCAACAAAGAGAGATTCAGATACCTCCTGGCTGGAACCCTCATCGCTTGGGAAACTTCCATCACTGTTAAAATGATAGCAATCATTAGCCACTCTTCTCTAGGAAATTTATACTTACCCCCAAAAGAAAGTAAGCTACAACTTAAAAAGCTAAAAAATTTTTATAGAAGCCAGTAGCTTTTTCTAACACATAATTGCTTCTCAACTGTGAAATACCTCTTAAAAATTAATAAATGGCTTGCAAATTATACATACACAAGTGAAATTTAATTTACAGCAATAACTGATTAGTTTCCAGCAACAATATTACAAATGAGGAAAACGACCTTGCCCTGTGACAACTGAATGACAAGCATGTTAACGTGACAACTAGGTTGTCATGTTTATTATATGCTTTCTCTAGGTTATGTGTCATATTATGTTTTCTCCAGATAATCATTATTATTATTATCTGGAGAAAAATATGTAACACAACCAATTTAGTTCTGAAAGGTTTTTATTAAAATAGAGTCTCTGCAAAGAAAAAAAAAAAGACTGGCTTTTAACATTCTCCTTTCTATTCTCTCTCTTCTACACTAATTTTTTTTAAGAACTATAGTCTAAATCTCAAGTGTTTTCTTCTAAGCAAAAATTATGAGGAGCTTACCCTTCTCTGGAATTCCAGTCATGTTAACTGGCTACTTTGGTATGAATTCAATTAATCAGTAAAATAGTATTTTTGGCCCTCTAGTGGTATCAGGAAAAGAGTGCTTATTTTTTTAAATGCAAATAGATGGCAAAACATTCCAGTGTATTATCTCAAAAGCAAACACACACACACACACACACATACACACACACACACACACAAAGAAAGAAAAAGGAATAAAAGTAAACCAAGGGTTATATCACCTTCAACTTTAAAATAATCAAATACATATTTTAAGCAATTACACACCTGGCAAAGGTCAATCCTATTCCATTATCCGCAAATCTGTAAGAGAAAAGAGAGTAAGGGAACAGTTTCACTCACCCCATCAGGTAAGAAGTGGTATTTTTCTCAGTGCTTAATCATTTACTTAGAAATCCAGAGGGCCGTCAGAGCACGCACGAAAGTTTCCCTTCACAATAACTAAGAGCACAGACTGCAGGGAGGGTGCCTGGTTTACAGCTTGGCTTTGCTAATTACTAGTGTGACCTTGGGCAAGTTACTGAGCCTTTCCCTCGGTTTTCTCATCTGTAAGGTAAAATTATAATATACACCTCTCCTCATAGGATTCTTTTTTTTTTTTTTTTTTTTAGATTTTTGCTATAGAGTGCCAGAGGGACAGAGAAAGAGACAGCGAGGAATCACTTCTCAGGTAGATGACCACGCAGCAATCTCTTCTCCTCCATTCTGCTCTTGGGATTTTGGGCAAGCACACACATGTGCCTGGCATGAATTTTAAGCTGCTGGGTCTGGGACTCAAACCATGGTTGCCTATGCTGCAGTGCAGTGACACAACCATTATGCCATCTGCTGGTCCCTTCTCATAGGTTTTTCTAAACATTTTTATTCTTGGGCCAATAGGTGACATAGAGGTTAAGGCAGCTGGATCCCACATGGCCGACCGTGTGGTTTGAGCCCTGGACCTTATGGCTTGAAAAACATGCCAGGCTCATGTGCCTGTGTGTACAAATTCCCAAGAGGAGAATGGAAGAGAAATGACTGCAGCATGGCAATCCCCCCAAAGGGTGACTTCTCACCTTTTCTCCCTCGCTCCCCTCTCTCACTGGCAAATGTACATGCAGTATAGCAAACGAAAGCAAACAAACAAACAAACAAAAGGAACTTATTCTTTATACATGATACAGCAGTCCATGTACCCATGACCGAAAGAAGCAAGCACCCTCCACAGGGTGTGGTCACGCTGAGGATCTCGTTCCTCCAGACCTTCTTCCCATTAGATCCTGGATACTCTAACATGTGTTCCCTGCGTGTTTCCAGGCTAACCAGGCTGGGCATTCAAAGAGCAGTGGCCATGTGGGATCCAGCTTCTCTCCACCAGTACGATACGACTGTGCCATGGAGCCAGTCCCCTGAGAGGATTCTTGAGAGAATTAAACATACTAACAATTCCAGGTATTTGGAACAGTTCCTGGCATATAAACAGGATATAAGTGGTTTGCAATAATTATTGCTTTTTTTTTTTTTTTTTTTTTGCTTGCCAGAGGGCATGTGCACTTGCCAGGGAGAGAGAGTAGAGGGAAGAAAGGGAGAGAGGAGAAAAGGAGATAAAATGGGATAGCGCCCCTCATGGAGAACAGTCACGCTACAATCCTCTCTCTTCCACCTCTCCCTCCCTCCAGAATTTTGGGCATACACGCACACATGCACACACGCCTGGTGTGTTTCTCACACAACCAGGTCCAGGACTCTAAGCATGGGGCCAGCCAAGTGGGACCTAGGCACCTTAACCACTATGCAATGGGCTGGCCCATGTAATTATTATTTTTATAATTTTTGAAAAAATAATCATAATATAGTCTTTGAAACTTTTTTTTTTTTAATTTGCCAGGGTGCATGTGCATGAGTGAGACAGGGCTTGGGTATAAGGAAGGAAAGCAAGAAAGCACTCCATATAGGGAATGGTCACAACACAATCCCCTTTTCCTGCATTTCTCCCTCTTTTTGGATCTTGGGCACATACACACACTTGTGCCCAGGTGTTTTTTTTTTCAAGCTGCTGGATCCCGGATTCAAACCACATAGTCAGTCATGTGGGATTCAGCTTCAACAATCAGAACACAGCCTGATTTTCTTCAAAACTTTGTAACATGGTACCCAAGTCATGTCTAATACATTCAGCTCACTATCAACTTTTCTTTTTCTTTTTTTTTTTTTTTGTTTGAGGGGTTTTTTTTTTTCACTATAGGGCGCATGCGCTCGCCAGACAGACAGGGAGAGACAGAGAGACAGAAAGCAAGAAATCACCCCCCAGAGGGGATGGCCACGCCTCAATCCCTTTTCCTCCATTCTCCTCTTGGGACCTTGGGCACGCACGCACACGCACCTGGCGTGGGTTTTAAGCCACCGGGTCCAGGATGCGAACCGCGGCCAACTATGTGGGAGTCCAGCGACATAGCCATTACGCTAACTGCTGGTTCCCAGCACACTATCAACTTTTTAAACAATTTTATTCATTTATTCATTTTATTTTAATTTGACCAGAGATACACAGAAAGAGAGAGAGAGAGAGAAAGTAAGCCACTTTGTCCAGGACTTGAACTGTGGTTGGCCATGTGGGAGTGTCCAGCACCTTAATCACCATGCCACCTGCTGGCTCCCAACATGCTATCAATTTTTTGAATGTCAGATATCAAAGATGATGGTGAAATGCCAAAAAGCCAGTTGTATCAGAAAAAAAAAATGTCCTAGATTTCTAAACACAAAATCATACTTCTACATGCATCAAACTGTTTCTAAAATTATAAAAAAGAAAAAGAGAAAAAAAGTGAGATGCTTCCTGTCTCATTTTAAGGCATAAATCAACAGACATTAAGGTGGAATTATACAACTTTTGTTTTGAATGGCAATGGAAGAGGGTCAGAAAATCTTTAAGAAGTTTCCAAGAGGAAGGGAAAAAAAATTCCAGGTAGTTTTAGAATGTTTATTTAGCTCTCTGACATAGGCCATGTTTGTTATATAAAGTTAAATCTTCCACTTCTGTTCAATCTCATCAAAAAGCTCTCATGTCACCAGACAAGCTCAGTTCCAATAAAAGCACCAGAATGAGACATTTCCAAACATTTGCAGTCTGTTAACTCTAGCGTACTTCCTCAGAGCTTGTCTGCCCAGTAATAATAACAATAATATGATTCCGGAAACCACGACTGTACTTTCATTCTACTGGTTTATTTTTTTTTAATAGTCTTAAAAATAAACACATCAGCATCGTCAGATAATAAGTTTGCAGAGGATACCTACGCTGAGTTCTGAACGATAATGTCGCCTCCTCTCACCCAAGCACCATTATCATTATTTTTAAAAGCAATGAGCCTGTCAATTATAGCAGCAACACGGGGCTTTTCAGGGTCTGCATCTTGATGAGGCCGAAATCTGGGGGGACCAAGATAAAAGGAAGTTTTTATTAGGTAATTAAAAGGCAACAGAAATTAGCTACTGATAGCTATTTATGACTGTAAGCCTAAGTGCTGAAAAGCAGATTTAAATCTGACCCCCCCCAAAACTTTAAGACACAATTGTTTGCATTTTGAGTACTAAAAGAACAAAACCCTATATTTATTTCTACACAGTTTTCAGAGAACTGCTGTAATATTTTCTTAGTGTTTTTTTTAACCTTTCTTTTTCAACTTTTAAGAAGGGGCTTCAGAAAACTCAAGGAAAAATATAATTAAGGCAGAATTTTATATTGATGAAAAAACTTTTAAAAATTTTTAAAAATAATTATTTATTATTTAATTCCATTTGTTATTATTACAATTATTTAATTTGACCAAAGAGAGGGAGAAAGGGAAAGCAAGAAAGCAAGCTCCTAGGCCTGGGACTTGAACTATAGTCGGCCTTGTGGGAGTCCAGCACCTTAAGCACCATGACACCTGCCGGCTCCTATGCAAAAATTTAAAAAGCCATCCTTGGCTTTTTGATGAGCATTTTCCATGAACTTTTTGAAGACCCTCCCCTCATAGTATGGACTCGAGAACCTTACACGCACAAAAATCATCAAAACAAAATAAAACAACTCATACCAGCAAATCTGGCAAATTCTAATACTACATGATATTACCCTTAATGGGTAAAATTAATCACACATTCCAACGTCTACCTGCTGTAGTATTATTTGAGTTGTGTGCTAGTTAAATGGTATAAACAGAGATAGAACAGTACAAGATCTTGAAAATGCCTACACTTTTCTTTTTTCTTTTTCTTTTTTAGGTTTTTGCTGTAGGGCATGTGCGCTCGCTAGAAAGACAGAGACAGAGAGACAAGCAAGAAGTCACCTCCCCAGGGGTAATGGCCACACCACAATCCCTTCTCCTCCATTCTCCTCTCGGGATCTTAGGCACACACGCACACACGCCTGGCATGAGTTTAAGCCACCGGGTCTGGGACTCGAACCATGATCGACTACATGGGAGTGCAGTGATGTAGCCATTATGCCAACTGCTGGTCCCAGAAAATACCTACATTTAATAAAAGACATTTTGGGGACCTGCGTAATGGTTACAATGCTAGACTCCCACATAGTCGACTGCAGTTCGAGTCCCAGATCTGGCAACTTAAAACTCACATCAGGCATGTGCATGTGGGACCAAAATCCCAAGAGGAGAATGGAGGAGAGGAGATTATGACACAGCCATCCCTCCTGGGGGGTGATTTCTTGCTTTTGTCTCTCTGTCTCTGTCTCTCTGGCAAACACATGTACCCTATGGCAAAAATCTCTCTCTAAAAAATTAATTAATTAGTTAATTAAATAGACTTTAACTAATCTATTATAAAGAATAAATTTTACCTCTTCTTCCTCTTCCCTCTAAAACACTTCAAAGAAATTCAATGAAAAGGTCATTGTCAAAAACAATCCACTATAATAACTTCAACTATCTCGTGGGGCCATCAAAAAAAGTCACTTAAATCTTACAAAGCTAGGAGGCGTAATAAAACTAGACAGCATTTCAAAAACAAGTTGAATAGGCTGAGATGTTCAACCTCACAGTCAGGAAATGGCATTCTGTTACTACCACGGTTGTTGGCACACAGTAGGTGCCCACTACATGTGTATGTACGAAACAGCAAGTGCAGATGTCTGTAGGGATGAGTGAGCTTAGCATGCTGAAGAGCGACAAGCAAGCTGGCAGGAGGAAAAGCAGGGAGACAGGACATAAGAGATGGGCAAGTGCCAAGTAAGGATCGGTTCCTCTTTCAAAATGTGACAGGGACTCAATGGAATGGAAGCATAGAACCAGGGAAATGTGGTGGATGGCACTGGCTGCAATTTGGAGAGTGCATTGTAGAGAATGGACTAGGAGGAGACCACCAATCTAGGTGTTCTTTATGTTTTTCAGGCAGATGGTGTTGGTGCAGCCTGGGGGCAGAAGTAATGGAGATAAAAAGTGTTATATTCACCCTTAGATTATATGGCCCAGATTCCTTTACTTGACGACCTCTGACCTAGGAAGTAAAAAGTCTGACTCCAAACCAATAGCCACTCTCCTAGAATCAGTTACTGCCAAATGGCTTCACAGTCATTACACAATATCAAGCAAATGGGAGAGTTCTAGAAAGCAAACTACACAATGTTCTAAAAGAAAGTCCAAAAGAAAACAATTCTAAAGCAACAGCTGATTCTCTGCTATAGCTATTTCGTCTTTTTTGAAGTTATTATCCAGATAACTCAATTATTGACCACTTGTCATGATACCCTTTACTTTCATCTTCTTTCCTACTTGAATATAAAACCATGTATTAGGTCACCGGGGAAGTCATAATGCATTTTCCTGTTTTTCTATGCATAAATGTGTCAAGACTTCCCCGACGACCCAAAAGTTAATTTTCCTAAATGTTCATCATCTATGAACTTGCAGGACACTTCTCAAACCCTCTCAATTGTTCCCTGCTTTAAAGGTACAAGCTGGTCCTAATGCTTTTTCATCCTTTTAGATGAAATTTTCCAAATCCAAACCAGAGCTTTTTTTGAGCAAACATTTCCCAATGTTGGATTCCTGTAATTGTGTATCTTGAAGACAAAAGGAAAGCCCATCTGATTAACTGTCGAGTCAACTTCCTCTTTGACACACAGAAGGAGTATCTTCTGCATCCATGAGTCTGGTGCTAACTTCATGGGCTGGTTCTGGTTCTCTATTCAATTGTTAGTTTTATCATTTTTACTCATGTTTGAATCCATGACTCTATGTGGGCATATTCTATACATCAGTGTATACAATCTCAAACATATACACAAGCTGCAAAGTATCGTGTTCCTCTTCTAAGGTCAGCTGTTTTCAACAGCAACTTCCAAATGGAGTCTAACTCCTCACCGATATGTATGCATTTGTAAACTGGTAAGAATTAATGGGGAGCAGAGGGAAGGGTGCTATTTTCATTGTATCATAGACACATTTCTGGTAAAAACTTAAGCCATTATGGGTAAAATGTTTTACTGTCAAGTCTAAAATATAAATGACTTCTTGAATATGTTCATTTATTTTTATACTTATACACATAGAGATACACGTGTGTGTGCGTATAAAATTTTTAAGGCAGGGAGCTATGTGCTTAAGGATTTTTCTAGCAATTGTAGCTTAGTGAAGTACACACTGTATGTTCCTTATTCAAAATGCTTGGGACTAGAAGTATTTCAGATTTTGGAATTTGCAAATACATGAGATACCCTGGGGATTAGACACAAATCTAAAGACAAAATTCGTTTATGTTTCGTAAACACCTTATACACATATCCTGAAGATAATTTTATACAATATGTTTATTTTTAAGCCTTCTGACTGTGGCCCACTTCACTTAAGATACCAGGTTGGTGGTGCAGAAGTTTCAGATTTTGAAGCCTTTCACTTTGGATTTTTTGGATTAAGAATGTTCAACCTATACACATTCATAATTCTACCAACCATAATAAACTTTTTTTTTTTTAAAGGTTTTTGCCTTTAGGTGTGTGTGCTCGCCAAGAGAGAGACAGAGACAGTGAGAGGGAAAGTGAGTAATCACTCCCTTCTCCCAGGATCTTGGATATGCTTGCACAAGTGCCTGGCATGATTTTTAAGTCACCAGGTCTGAGACTCGAACCATGGTTGGCCATGTAGGAGTCCAGTGACATAACTGCTATGCCATGTGCTGGTCTCTAAAAACTCTTTAACATTAAAAAAGTAGCAGTGACTTTCTAGTATAGATTTATTTTGTCAGCTAATATTCTCTTCTCGGTTTTTAATTTGTTATCATCTATATGTTCGTTTTCTCAGGTTTACCTCTACTGTTCCATTTCATACACTGATTTGCAATTAAGTATCTGATACCTTGTGTTTTTATTTAAATAAATCCAACAGTTTTTGGATTTCTCAAATGCTGATCACTGCTTTAAAATATTTCAGGCTCAACTGGACATTTGAGAAATCCTGGTGAGTAATTTTACCAGTGACATTTCCAGTTTTCTTCTGACCTCATGCCTTACTAATGTGCTGTGAGGATCCTGCCTCATACTGAAGTCAGACTCACAACTTACAGTGCAATTACTACTACACTCCCTTATGAAAGCAGGCCTGGCATTCTTTTCCTAAGTATCTGTGAACACAGTCTATAACTCTAACACCCTTGCAAGCTCACACACTGGTCAATCAACTTAAAGTATAGAAAAGTAATATGTACACGGCTTCTATTCAATATGTCCTTCAGTGCCACCTTTCCCAAAACACTTTATTTCTATTCATGACACTGTATTTATTTTGGCTCACGTGCAGTGACATGTAAAACAGCTTTGATAAAATTCTGGTCCACATACCAACCATGATTTGTGGTTATAAGACAGAGGATTGTAGACTACGAGGTAAATCAGAGCTAACAAATGACTGATCCAGAACCAGTTTTATCATTAAAATGGGGGAATAGTTCCCTTTGAAATAAATTCAGTGCAATGTTCTTGCTCTCTTTTTTTTAGGTTTTTGCCACAGGGTGTGTGCGCTCTCCTGAGAGAGACAGAGAGAATGAGAAGGAAAGTGACAAATCACTCCACACAGGGCACAGCCATGCCACAATCCCTTCTCCATCCTCCTGGGATTCTGGGCACACAAGCACACATGCCCTGTGTAATTTGCAAGCTGCCTGGTCCAGGTCTTGAACCACAGTCAGCCAAATAGGAGTCTAGCACCTTAACCACCATGATACTTACTGGCTCCATGATGTTCTCTTTTAACCAGAGAACATTTATTTAAGAACAAACTCTATGTGCATGGTTTTCAAGAGAAAGACTGAAGCATTCTAGTTTACCTTGCTTTTTTAAAAAGTTTATTTCTTATTCTTTCTTTATTTTTCAACTGACAGAGAAAGAGGGAGAAAGCAGCCCCTAATGGGGCATGGTCGCACTGCAATCCTTTTTCCTCCATTTCTCTACACCATCAAGACTTTGGGCACATGTGCATAGGTATCAGAGTGTTTTTGAAGGTGCCAGGGTTGGATTCAAAATATGGTCAGTTATGTGGGATCTGGTTTCCTTAACCGCTAGACCACAGGGGTCAGCCTCTTAATTTCTTTTCAGTAAATCATAATCTAGGACAAATTTGGCACCTTTTTCATTATCTTTTCTTTTTCATTTGCTTTCAGCATTTCTGTCATCTACTACAACTGTGCAAAAGAGAACAGCATCAACTTCTTTGGCATTTCAATAAGATGAAAAGCCAGTCAGAGAACCTAGAACAGAAGAAATATCCTTCTAAAACCCTTCGATGAAGCTGTAAAACTCCATTTTTAATATGTTAGCACAGAAAATAGTACCATGTGCCTGTCTCAGAAAGTTTGGCTTCAGCAAGACATGACTTGAGTGACTTTAAAGAACCAGTTCTACCTTGCACTATTGTCCAAACACAGGTACTCCCTAGGGTCGGCAGCACTGGAGTTGGTTGTTTTGACACCTTTGTCAATAAATAAGCCAGCCTGAAAGACATAATAATGGACTGAAATGAGTATAAATCCAAAGTTATATCAACCCATCTACAGACACACACACACACACACACACACACACACACAAATTCATCCAAATAAGTTTTGGTTTATTACTTCCACTAAATAAAAGGGATGGGGGAGAAGGAATAAACAATCACGTACAGGTATTGGGAAAAGTACTTTTCTAGATATCCTACACTTGTACTCATTCATTCATTCAACCAATACTTATCTAGTGCTTACCTCCTGGCAGGCACGACACATGACACATTAATGAACAAGAAAAAGACGATCCTTGCTGTTACCATGACGAAAGCTAGCAGCAAGACTTGTAAGCAAATAAGCAATCTCAATCCAACTTGAAAAGCATATGATAAAGGATGTAAATGATGCTATGGCAGCAAAAAAAGACACCTACATGAGGCTTTTTTCAAGACTGGGAATGAGAAGATTCAGAGGATATTGCTCTTTTCTTTTCTTTTTCTTTCTTTTCTTTTTTAATGGGTTTTTGTCATAGGGTGCATGCACTCACCAGAGACAGAGAAAGGGAAAGCGAGAAATCACCTCCAAGGAGGGACGGCCTGCTACAATCCTTTTTCTTATATTCTCCTCTTGGGATTTTGGGGATGTGAACACACACGCCCAGTGTGAGTTTTAAGCCACTGGGTTCGGGATTAGAACCACGGTTGGCCATGTGAGAATCCAGCACCTTGACTACCATACCACCTGCTGGCCCCCAGAGGATGTCTCCTAAAGGAAGGAATCTCCTAAAGCTGAAACCTGATGAATGGGGAGGAATTAAGCACGTAAAAGAACGGGCTAGGGTGCAGGGCAGGGGTGGGCGGGGAGCAGCTAGAGAATATAGAGAAAATTCCTCAAGGGTATGGTCTGCACAGAAGTCTGGAGACGAGACAGTATGGAACATGTGAAAACAGTCCTGGACGGACTAACGAGAATATACTGGGGAGAAATGCTAATGAGGATCGAACATCAGATCACAGAGCTGACTACTGCAAGCCAAGAAAACAGACATTACAATGATTTTTGTAATTCAGAAGAGAAAGAAAGATGACCTGAATTTGAAGCAGTAGTAACAGAAATCCAGAGTGAGAATTCTTTAATAGGGAGAACTGCTATCACTTAGTAGTAATATCTGGAGGTGACAAAAGCAATTAAAATGGCTGTATTTTGGTTTAGGAATCTAGGTAGACTAGTGGTTTCAATCATTGAAATGGACATATAGGAATAGGTCTGGACCTAAAACTAAGGAGTTTAGTTCAACTTTTTTCTTTTCTTTTCAAGAGACGTAATCTCAGTATATAATCTAGGCTAGACTCAAACTCACAATCCTCCTGCCTCAACCTTCTTGAGTAGCTGGGATTAAAGGTGCACACCACTATGCCTGGATTGAACATGCTTTCTTTGTGTCCATGAGACATTCAAATGGTACTTGGAGGGTAGTCAGATGAACATGACCAACCTGAATGGTATACAGGTTTTGGAGGTCACAACCATTGAGGTAGAGGTGTATATATATGTGCTTACAAGGGATCCCAAGGGGACCAGGTGTTTATTGAGGACTCCAGTGGTTCAAGATCCTTTGGTAATGAGAACCAGCAGTTAGCGTAATGGCTATGTCGCTGGACTCCCATGTAGTCGACCACGGTTCGCGTCCCGGACCCAGTGGCTTAAAACTCACACTGGGCGCGTGTGCATGCGTGCCCAAGATCCCGAGAGGAGAATGGAGGAGAAGGGATTGCAGCGTGACCATCCCCCCTGGGGGGTGATTTCTCGTTTTCTGTCTCTATGTCTCTCTCTGTCTGTCTGGCGAGTGCATGCGCCCTATAGCAAAAAACCTCTCCAAAACAAAAAAGAATTTGAGCAGTGGATATCACAAAGAGCCTTAGAAATAACCAATTTTGTTTGTTAGTTTGCAAGAGGGTATGTGTGCTTGACTGAAAGAGACAGACAGAAAGGGACAGGAGAAGGCACCCCATAAGAATGGTCACACCAAAATCCCTTCTCTTCCATTTCTCTATCCTGTTGGACTTTGGACATACATATCTTGGGTGTTTCTCAAGCCACCAGGTCCAGACCTTGAACCATGAGGTCAGCCATGTAGCCAATAAAAAAAAAACCCCCCAAAAAAAAAAAAAAAAAAAAAAAAAAAAGATCCTTTGGTAATAAAATATTATTCTAGATAACCATTCCCAAACATAATACATCAAAAACCTACCCTCCATTCATGTAATTAGATGTAACATTCTGATAATTAATAGAGTAGCTTACTATGTGTCATCATGGCAAATAACATTTAAAAATCAATTAGGATGAGGTTTATTTTACACTACTTACAATTTTTTAAATTTGAGGATATCTACGTGGGAATGCTACTGTCAATCATGATTAGCCTTAATCAATTACTCAGCTCACAAAAATTCATACTTCTGTGTAAAGATTTTTCCTCTTAAGTTTCGTCAATTGATTCTATGCTCTTCAAATTTTAACACATTTAGATTTTTAAAGAATCCTCTGAGCATTATAAAAAGGAAGTACATATTAATTGAATATTGATGAGGATCACATCAGGGAAAAAGATTCAGACTTTATATGTATATATATAATATTCAGACTATGTGTGTGTGTGTGTGTGTAGTATGTAGTAATGTAATACTAAAATGTCTTGTAGGCACAAAATAAACCAAATGTTCTCATCACCAGGGGAGTTGGGGGTGAGGGCCAAATACCATAGACACTGGAGCTCCTAAGTGGCCTTTGCGTTACTTGATCTGTAGCATTTTAAATTAGGTCAGGCATCCTTGAGCCATATTTCCCTATTTACATAATTAGTATTAAATGCCCACTAGGCCACTACCAGTCACTGAACAGAAAGAAGACTAGAGCGATGCACTAGAAGTGTATTTTATGGAACGTGCATCCCTAAAAACACACAGGACATTAAAGATGGAGAGAAGGTGAGAGGAAGGGAGGGAGGAATGAAAGAGCGGATGATGCACACGGTGAGGCCATTTCCAATATTCGGAGTACGTTACAGGGTACTCCACACACCTGTGCGTGTATAAGCGGGATGCTAGGAATATGTCCCGAGCACAGGAGGGTGTCTGCAGTTTTCAAATCACAATTTACTTTCTCTGATGACAAGCTCTACCAAAAACGGACATTTCTTCATTGTAATCTACTATAGTTTGAATCTATCTCCCAAAAAGCATGTGTTGAAAATCCTCAAAGTACGTGTTGGAAGGTGGGGACTCACAGGAGGTGTTTAGGTCACAAGAGCGCCACCCTCGTGAATGGATTAACGCCGATTATAAAAGCCTACAGGTTTGATCGCTTACACTCTACTGCTTTCTCTTCGCCCTTTCACCACATTAACAATGCAGCAAGAAGACCCTCGCCAGACAATGGCCCATCAACCATGACTTTTTAGCCTCCAGAACTGTAAGTCAATTAAATTTCTGTCTATTATAAATTGTGCAGTCTGTGCTACTGTGTTACAACAGCACCAAACAGACTAGGGAAAGGTGACAGCAATCCCCTCTTTGCCCTGTAAATCACGTATATACTCATGGTTAAAACTTAGGAACCTACCTTAAAACTTGAATGGACTCTGTTGTTATAAAATATACCCAATGGGGTGAGTTCCGGTTTTGCTAAGAACTGAAGTCCACTGGATTCCCCAGTAGGTTCCTTGTGGAATAGATACCAGATTCCAGCATCCTGCAATTGGAAGAGTGACATCATTAAAAAGCCTTGTTTTATAAAGCCGAGACTGAAACCCTCATAAACTAACTGCTTTGCAAGCAAGTTTAATCTTTTTAATGCAAATTTTTTACTGTTTCAGGTTCAAAATTCACTATAAAAAGTTGTACATGCATCTAGCAGCCTCAAAGCATTATGCCTTGCATTTTTTGTTGGAAATCAGATTTCATTTTGCTTGCAAAATTGGACAGAAGATAGAAATAACTGATATCAAAATGGACTTTCAAAACAATTTGCCATGATGATCTTCTTACAAAGTTGTGCAGAACCAAACAAGCCTTCCACGTGACCAGGACAGCACAGCCCTCAAGCAGTATGTTCTTCTCTGTTTACCTCCAAACCTGATCAGTAGATGAGTCAGACCCATTAAAGAGCTGTCCGCCAATGTGCAGAGCTCACTGACTTCTTTCAAACAACTCCAAAGCCCTTCCTGTCCCAAGGCAAATTTTTGCCAAAGGAAAAAAAAAAAAAAAAACCACCAAATGCATGAATCAAGATGCTGTCTCAGTCTGGATCTTGTCTGTTCATTTCAGTATTACTGACCATAACAGGAACAGAACAGTTTAGGATTTTGTGATACTTAAAATAAGACATAAAAATGAAAACACATGTTCTTAATTCCTATGATAATTTTTTTTCTACAGCTGAATTTAAAAATCAGCCCAATACTATAGAACTTTGATTAAAGAAATTGTTAAAACTTAAAATATACAACATAAAAGGATAGTATTAACTTAAATTTGGCAAATATTTCCTTGGTGTCCACAAAGTGCTGGGTGTGCATTGTCTATTCTCTAACAATTTATAATCTAATGGGAAATACTGAGATAACTAGAATACAATATGTAATAAAGACTGTATTCTTGCAACAATGTCCTTAGGCAACATAGAAGAGAGAGAAAATGTGGAAAGCATATATACCTCCACACCAAAATGAATGCAATATTTAACATGTTTCCATGATAAAAGTTTGCAAATGGGTCTTAATAAAACAAGCTACTCAGAAACACATTTGCTACCTCAACTCTGTGGGTACAAAACAGACAACAGAAGAAGACTGAAGGCTTGATGTAAATCCCTGTAGACTTTGTACAGCAAACCCTCTCGGGATGTAATGGAGTTTGGGGATTGGGGATTCATAAGAGAGTAGCAGCCGTTTCCTGTTAAACACTGCAGTGTCAGACAGGTAAAGAAAGCTTTGTGAAAGGCAGTGGAAAAGTACAATGAAGAAACGGTTTCATTTACTTTGGGAGGAAAAACCCTGCCAAATATTAGTTTTACAGGAACAGTTTTTCTAGAGAGAAAAGAAATAGCTCATAGATAGAAAATGAAGTAGAATACACATGAGATGCTTTTTTTTTTCCTCACATGTGCCCCAGGTAAAGGTATCTGGCAACCTTACCTTTCATTTTTCAAGAGCTATTTGCAATTTGCTTTAATCCTCAATCCCTGACTTCTGAGAAAAGCTGCAAGAAATCTTGGCTCTGGGTGTTGACTTGTAATATAACACAGATCAGAAGACAATACTGGGTAAGGCTGGAGATCAACCTCTCAGTCACCTGTATTCAAAACCTCAGGCCAGCAGGTGGCATGGTGGTTAAGGTGTTGGACTCCCACATAGTCAACTACGGTTCAAATCCTGGGCCTGGCAGCTTGAAAATTAAGTCGGGTGTATGTGCATGTGTGCCCAAAATTCTGGGAGAAGGGATTGCAGCATGGTCATCCCCCCGGGGGTAAGTCTCTCACTTTCCCTCTCTCTGTTTCTCTCCTTTCCAGTGAGCATACATAACCTATAGCAAAAAACCATAAAAACAAACAAACAAACAAAAACCCTCACTTTCCAGTTAGAAACTCTCAGCACAAACCCCACACACGACCAATAAATACTTGATGAAAAATGTCTGCCCTATCAAATAAGAATCTTCAACTGATGGGGACGTTAGGCTTATGTTTTATGTTTTAAGGAAAGGCAGAGTGAGGTCCGTCAGTTCGTCACAATCATGCAGTGATGCCTACATTCTTATTATCTCACGGTAGTACTCCTTTCAGCTAATCTTTCCCTTCTTCCTAGGAAACAAAGCTAGGGATGTGTTTCCTTTCTAAAATTGAAATAGCCATGATGTGAAAATATAAATATTTCAGTATTGCTGCGACATTCATTTTTGTACAGTTACAACCTTTATAGCACAATGTCTTAAAAGACCCACTTATATCACAAAGTAGTAGTTTTAGGTCTGCTCAATTATAACTGTAAATTTCTTTAAAATTATCCATAGACATTCCTGCATTCCAAAAATAGTTCATTTACTCTCTGAAAAATTATTCTTGGGAAGACTAGCAGATGGCATAATGGTTATGTCGCTGGACTCATATGTAGCCCACCACGGTCTGAGTCTCAAATCCAGTGGCTTAAAACTCATGTCACGTTGTGTGTGCTGTGTGCCCCAAATCCCTGGGGGATGACTTTTCGCTTTCTGTCTCTCTGTCTCTGTCTCTCTGGCGAGCACACACACCCTATAGCAAAAATCACTAAAACAAACAAACAAACAAAAATTATTGGGGCCAGCAGGTGGCGTGGTGGTTAAGACACTGAACTTCCACATGGCCAACTGCAATTTGAGTCCAGACCTAGCAGCTTGCTTTCTCAACTTTCCTTTTCTCTCTCTCTCCCTTTTCTCTCTCTGGTGAATGCACAGGCCCTATAGCAAATTAAAATAATAGTAACAAATAAAATTTTAAAATCCTTTAAAAAGAGTATTCCATTGGGTGTGCATATGCATGCATGTGTGCATACATGTGTGGCTTAACTCAAGACACACAATTGATTCATGGCCGCTTTATTAGGGAGATGAAATCCCTAAGTGTATGTGATCCCTGCACTCAACAAAAAGATGTACCTCCTGACCAGAATGACAACTGTCACTCTATTCTACAGAATAATCCATTCCCATAAAGAAAAGCTAAGACTACTTTTGTCCATCAATACTAGAAACTAAAATGATCAGTTCCTTGGCACTATCTGACTTAAATAAGAGAAGCCAGAAAGAGCATCCACAATTCACTAGAGAAACACTCTGGAGAAGATACAACCCTAGAGATTAGCCCACCTCTTCTCCTCTGTCTGGCATCCATCTTACTACACTCACAGACACTAACGGAATCAATGGAATACAAAAACCAACTCAACCTTATCCTCTCAACTAACGAAACAAGAATACCAGAAAACGACATTACACCTGGGGTTAGACTGGCAAACGTGACGTTACATCCATAAAAACCAGAGTATTTAAAATCATGGGTCATATAAGAAATCCGAAAATCATTTCATCTTTACCTGTGAGCCTGCAGCTGCATTATTAATCAGATTGTTGTTGGGATGAGCAATCCAGAAAGTTGAAACGGCCCTGCAAGGCATTTTTGAAGATGATTTAAATATTCTTCACAAACAATTCAGCCCACTAGAAACTCCCCCAACACATCTTCCCCAACAGTCAGCCCTCACACAAGTCTCCTTGGCAATAGTTACTCACATACAGTCAGTGGCAGGCACAGGGACGTAACTTCCAAACACTTTCTCTCGCATGGCGGTGCACACAGAGTTGTTCCTGTCAGTGGGGAGGAGCGTGCCTGGCTTGGTTAGGAGCCCCAGATTGTGGAACAGAGTATTTCTCTGTTCGATACCATCTTCCAGAAAGAAACAATGACCAAGCGTGTCAAATCCAATGGTGTCTTTTATCTGTAGAAATATGAGTTTATAATGTCACTGGTAATAAGACTGCATGTGAAGTGACAGATACTATGCAGTGTAACATGCTCAGTACAAATGCAAAAAATCCTTTATTTCTTAAATAGCGAGAAACAGAGAGAGACAGAGACAACACCCCTAAGAGCATCCCAGTGCTAGCATCGATCCCCAGTCCTTGGCCAGCCCTGGATGCTCGGTGAGTGTGTGCTCAGAGACTCACGAAGGACTCCAGACTCAAGCCAGGAATGCTGCCAGGATGCCTTACAGAACATCGTGTTTTACCACTGCATCATCTTCTGGCCCCGAAACATGAAAAGTTTTAAACTTAGCAAATCAAGCAAGGGCAGATGTCAGGTTTTACTGATTTCTTGAGTGGATCATTTGGGTGATTATAAAAGTAGCCTTCCTTCAGACAGATAAACAGCAAAATTCTCAGGAAGAGCATATTCTCCACGGAATGAAAGTTTACTTATATAAAATTGAGAAGTCATGAGAACAGAGATGTGCCTGCTTCAGTGAGGCCACTTACCAACAAGCCGTTTGTCCCGTGTACGGTGATGCACCTGGAGAAACTGTGATGGATAGACAGACCATCCACAAGGGTTGCAGGTCGGTACCCTCCTTTATGATCCACATCCCCACACAGGTGAAAATGAATAGGATACCGCCCCAGCTGCTGCTGGCCCATGCGTCTCAATTCCGTGTAGGAAAGGTGGACCGAAGTAAAGTTTTTCTTTATCTACAAGACAAGGTAACCAAAATCTTTTAAATACATTTTATAAAAGGAAAGTAGCAAAAAATATTGTTTTAATAGAAAATGTCTGAAGGAGAATATATATTAAACCATATATTTTCTTTTGCATTCTATTTTCCTAGGTCCCTAGTTAATAATGTGGGCTATGTCTCTTTACATAAGCAAATAAAGAGCCTTGGGAAGAGCTGTTAATGGGAATACAGGCGAATGTATCCAGAAAAGCAGCAAAAGTAATTTCTGTGTATCTGTTTTGATTAGTTCCAATATTTTGGCCATTCCCAGTCTCATCTTATTCTTTCATTTCTATTACCTCCACCACAGTTTGATAAATATTTATTGCTAAATGTATCCCCAATGTTTTACTTAGCACATAATATTGTTGCTTAAAGTCTTTTTGGAATTCCCCTCTGGTCCAAAGTTTAAGCACTCTCAATATTTTCCCAACCCTGGATTTTTCTTTTTTTTTTTTTTTTTGGAGACGTTTTCGCTATAGGGCACGTGCACTCGCCAGAAAGAGAGAGAGAGACAGAGAGACAGAAAGCAAGAAATCACCCCCCAGGGGGGATGGCCACGCTGCAATCCCTTCTCCTCTCGGGATCTCGGGGACGCACGCACACGTGCCCGGCACGACTTTAAGACACTGGGTCCGTGACTCGAACTGCGGTCGGCTACATGGGAGTTCAATGACATAATCATTATGCTAACTGCTTGTCCTAGATTTTCTTATTATTAAAAAAAAAAAAAAACACAGAACAACATTGATCAGCATTTCAAAAATCAGGATAACAGAAATGATGCTAAAATCCACAGCCTATGACACGTACAAAAAGTGACTTTAAAACACAGGCAGCCAAAATGCAGCCCAGATGCCCAATAGATCAGTATATTGAATACTGCCTACCATATACTACACGCTCAGTATTTTTACAGCATAAACACTGGCATGCAAGAGATGGCCCTCAGTCCTTGGCTGACCACAGTTTGCATTCTGGCACCATCACTGAAAAAAAACAAAACATGCTGGGTACATGTATCTTTGTGCCCCAAATTCTGACAGGACACAGGGAAAAGGTGTGCAGCATGGCTATGTCTCATGGGGAGGTTCGCTCTCTCCCTCTTTCTCTCTGAGGAGCACAAGCACCCTCTGACAATTTCTGAAATATCTGCGTTCAAAAAAAAATTGTTTACACAAACATATTTATTTCATATGTGCATATTATAACTATTTACCCTTTAGTGACATCATGTTTGAAAAATAGATTTTTCTCAGAATCACAAAATCAATTTTGGTTTTTTTTTTTTTTTGGCCTCTACAATTAATTCTTCCCAATATATTGATTTAATTCATCATGGAACCATTCTTAAATGGTTGAACTGGGGACAAGCAGGTGGTATGGTGGCTGAGGCACTGGAATCCCACAGGGTCAATTGCAGTTCAAGTCCCAGACCTAGCAGCTTACTTTCTCACCTTCTCTGTCTCTCTCTCTGGTGAGTGCATGTACCCTATGGCAAATTAATTATAATAATAATAAATAAAATTAAATAAATAATTCTTTTTTTGAGAGGTATTTTTGCTATAAGGCGCTTGCGCTTGCCAGAAAGACAGGGAGACATAAAGTGAGAAATCACCACCCGGGGGGATGGCCACACCGCAATCCCTTCTCCTCCACTCTCCTCTTGGGATCTTGGGCACACATGCACATGTGCCCAGCGTGAGTTTAAGCCACCGGGTCCGGGACTTGAACCGCAGTCGACTACATGGGAGTGCAGTGATGTAGCCATTACACTAACTGCTGGTCCCAAATAAATAATTCTTTAAAAATGATTGAACTGTCAGTTCAAGTCAACTAAGTGAAGATATATCTTTCTCTTTTAATTACTTAAAATTTCCTCATGTCATTTGAAAGAGAAAAAAGCTATGCTTTCTTTTTAATATCTACATATGAGGGAGCGGTCTTCAAAAAGTTCATGGAAAAGTGCACTATGAAGAATTTCTCATGGATTCCCAATCTTTTTCTCTTCAAAACAAACTTTCACTTTTTTCCCCCCCTACAGTGCACATGTGTTCACTGAAGAGACAAAGAGAGGGAACGTGAGAAATCATCCCTTGCGAGGATGGCCTTGCCACAATCCCGTCTCCTTTATTCTCCTTTTGGGTATGAACAATACGCCCTCGGTATAATTTTCAAGTCACCAGGTCCAAGACTTGATCCACACAGTTGGCCGTGTGGGATCCAGTTGCCTAAACTACCACACCACCTGCTTAAACTGGCACTTCAGTTCCATTTTTCTACGTACTTTTTGAAGTCCTCTGGTGTATGTTTATATATATGTACGCACACACAAATACACATCTCATTCCAAAACTTGACATTTCTCCAAACGTGTATTTAGCATCTAGCATTTCAAAGAAACTGCAGAATCCTTTTGCCTACCATGATATGTCCCCCGAAAGTATCATAATTGAAGAACTGGCACTGATTTTCTCCATAGCACGAGTTCTCCATTTCTCCTTGGATCACAACATTCCGGGTGAGGACGCCCACCTCGGCTCTCATGTCCACACCATCTACGATCTCACCCATGTGCAGGAACTGAGGGGTTTCTGGTTGATGTGGGCAGAGGAAAAAGAGCATTAGAGCAAAGAAGACAGAACATTTCCTTTAAGAGGGCATTCCTCTTCAGTCTATGACTCTAAAACACAGTTGACAATTTACTGTCTGCTCCCATTCTCTAATACTAGAAATGCCGAGTCCCAGGAAACAGATTTTGCAGATAATCTAATCCACCCAGCCACCCAGCACCTGGGCCCTCACTATCAACTGTCCTACCAATTTGAGAAGAACCCAAGTACTGGCAAAAAGCTGGCTCCTCTTGAAGAAGCTCAATCCTCCCATGAACGGCACTAATAATCTGAAATCTGCCTAGAAGTCCCTAATCTTTCTCCCTAGGTCCTGTTCGTACACCCTTGTTCTACTCACCCCTCAGGGCACACAAGAGCCAAACACACATAAAAACAAACAGTTGTGTCCATGTTGATATCAGGGTATCAAGGTACCTGCGCTTCTACCTTAAAGCTAAAGTAATCTGCATTTGGATATTTACAATAGAAAAACAACCACTTTTTCTCTTCTACTTCCTGTTTCAGTATTATTACAGATTCTTTTAAATTCCCAATTTTTCTAGGAGTTTGGAAGCACTTTAAGAATGAGCTTTTCTCCAGTGCTCTTATTATATAAACTCAGAAAGGAAAAATATAAATGAATCATGGGAATTGAGCTCATGGAGACTTATCATCATGTACACTTGTTAGCAAGAGTGGGAATTTCCAGAAAAAATGAATACCAGATGGTATCAGAGTTTGGGACTGTTGGTGGTGGTGCTGTTGCCTAGGCCTTATGTTATCAAGGAGAAAAAGTCCAACACTGAATGAAACACTGGGAGAAAATGCCAGGTATGCCAATCATCATCCAATTTTATTTCTCAAAGCAGAGAGTTTTTCTTTAAACTGCAAAGTTCTAACTTAGTTATTACTCTCAATTACTCAAAAACTGAGTGAGCACTTATCGAAGAGTTACTGTAAACTCGTGTTCTATACCAGAAATATAGACTCCTCAGTACAGAAGCAAGGAAAGCAATATAACGCATAAAATGCACAGGGGTCCCATAAATGAAGCAACTACAGAGGACTTTGCATCACACAAGGCTCAGAAAAAGCACCTGGTAAACATCAGCCATTTGTTCTAGATGTAGCTTACAGCACAAATTTCTTTGTATATTTTTCTCCTTTGGAAAAAATATTCAGCCCAGCCTCTGTGCAGTCAGTAGCACACCCAACTGCAGTGCTAGAAGCAACATGGCCTTCCACTGTTCTAGATCCCCAGCCTGGATGATTTAAAACACACCAGGCACATAAATTTGTGCCCTAAATCCTGACAGGATGCAGAAATGAAGGGACTGCAATATAGCCATGCCTCATTCAGGGGGTGTTTCTTTCTCTCCCTGTCTCTCTGTCTTAATCTATCTCTCTGGTGAGCACAGGTGCCACCCTTTGGCAGAATTTTATTTATTTATTTATCTTTAATTTTTGCTACAAGGTGCATGTGCTTGCCAGAGAGAGAGAAAAAATAAAGAGAGAGAAGGAAAGTGAGAAATGAACCCCACCCCCGGGAGGATGGCCATGCCACAATCCCTTCTCCTCCCTTTGGGATTTTGGGCATGCACAGACACACTCTTGTCATGATTTGTAAGCTGCCAGGTTCAGGACTCAAACCACCATCAACCATTTGGGAGTCTAGTGCCTTAACCACCATGCCAACCTCCTGACCCTGAAAACACTTATTTTAGTCCTATTTTAAATAATACTAGGTCTACTTTGCCAAACAAGTGGAGGCACACACAAACCATGGAATTTTTTTAATTGAAGATTTCTATTTAAAAATTGGATCTAGTTGATAGTTAGGTTTACTAATATTTGACAATGAAAACTAAGAAACAAATTGCAAAGGACTTTGGAAAATTAACTTATCTAGACCATGTATTTTTAAATTTCTTTTTTTGCAAAGAAATGAAGGGCCAGAAATACTAACTTGCTTCATATCATTAACAGCAAGAATACTGCACAGTAACTCCTTTTACCTAACATCCTCTGGGATCTAGTGTTCAATACAAGACCTTTGATATGGATGATAATGACTTGGGGTGGGGGGTGAGGGAGAATGATGATTGGTAGGAAAAAAGGATTCCAGGAATCCAATCTCAAGAATAGAGTGTTCCCCCCAAAGAGTACTCTGAGCAGTCTGATACCTTTGACCTTGACCTGAAAAGGGCTGCACTCTGGACAAGGGAGAAGAGTGAATTCCTCTGCTTGGTACATTGAATAGTCAGTGCTTGCGACCACGATCTGGTCTCCGGGCTTCCAGCTACTAACGTCATCCAGCAGGTGAAGCTTTACACCGTCCACAACCTCTACACGGAAACCTGAAAGGGAAACACCTGAACAAAAAAGACAGGAACAAACAGGTACATTAATAGGAATTTGTTTTTTGTTTTTTTTTTAATATCATCCCTCTCATTGATTCGCAAATCACAATTTTAAACAAATTTACATTGCTATTGATCATCTGTCAGTCACTTTGCAGATATGAATGATACAAATAAGAAAATACAGATTCCTGCCTCAAAGGGAGAGACCCGTGTACCCCCAGCCATGTGTAGTCAGTCACTTAGCAAGCAAATATTCTTTTGTGACTTTGAAGACTCAACCCACAAATTCCTCACTGTATTTCAACTCAGTGCTAAAACTATCACACTGCCTAGAACAACCTTAACGTATGTCACATCACACTCAGGTAGAAGTTGCCAGGCACAGAATAGGTCTGTAGTAAATACCAAGTGCTTCATTTTTTTGAGAGGTTTTTGCTATAGGGCATGTGCACTTACTTGCCAGAAAGACAGAGAGAGACAGAGAGACAGAAAGCGAGAAATTACCCCCCAGGGAAGAAGGCAAAGCCACAATCCCTTCTCCTCCATTCTCCTCTTGGGATCTTGGACACATGTGCACCCACGCCCAGCGTGAGTTTAAGCCACCTGGTCTGGGACTTGAACCACGGTTGAATACATGGGAGTCCAGGGACATAGCCATTACACTAACCGCTGGTCCCCCAAGTGCTTCAATTTAATCCAAGCATAGAACAAGAGATATGACAATTATGCACAGACTGTCTTAGTATGGAGAGTAGAAGCTCAGAGTCAGCCAGCGGCAAGGTAGTTAAGGCAGCTGGATCCCACACAGCCAATTGCTCAGTTTGAGCACTGGACCAGAGGCTTGAAAATCACGCTGGGTGGGACTAGCAGATGGTGTGATGGTGACGTCACTGGACTCCCATGTCGTAGACCACGGTTCGAGTCCAGAACATGACCACTTGAAATTCATGCCAGTTGCGTGTATGTGTATGCCCAAAATCCTGAGAGGAGAATGGAGGAGGAGGGATTGTGGCATGCCCACCCTACCCCCAGGGGTGATTTCTCACTTTCTATCTCTTTGTCTCTCTCTGGCGAGCACGTGTACCCTATAGCAAAAGTCTCTCTTAAAAAAGAAAAAGAAAAAGAAAAAGAAAAAGAAAAGAAAAGAAAAGAGGAAAAAAAAAGAAAAGAAAGTCATGCTAGGTGCATATATACGTGTGCCCAAATTACTGACAAAAGAATGCAGGAGAAGGAACTGTAGTGTAGCCATTGCCCCTAGGGCGTGTTTTCAACTGGTCCCTTTCTCTCTCTCTCTTCAGCAAGTGAATGTACCCTTATAGCAAAATTAAAAAACAAAATTAAAAAGGGGGGAGGGGTAAAAGTTTAGGGCCAGTCAGTAGCATGGTGGTTGGGGTGGCTGGATCCCAGTCAAGTGCATGGTTCAAATACAGGACCCGATGGCTTGGGGAACACACAAGCTACATGTGTATGTGTGCCCAGAGTCCCATGTGGAAGGAGAAATGGAGGAGAAGGGATTGCGGCATGACCATGTCCCACAGGGAGGGTGCTTTCTCTTTCTCTCCTGCTCCCACTCTCTCTCCAGCAATTACACGTGCACTCTGAGAATTTTAAAGGGAAAAAAAAAAGAAAATTTTCCTCAGAAAATCCCTCATTTTATGCCTCTGCTCATGCTTCATTCTTTACCTAGACTGTCCTTCCACTATTTTCCACTAACAAGATACTTTCTACCTCTTTATAAACCTCAGGAAAACCTATGAAGCTTTCCCACACATCCTTGCTGGACGTCACCTCTCTCTCCCTAGAATTCTTCCTGTACTCTCTTGGGAACTGCTCATTCTTCTCAATGGAAGGAAGCTCACCTCCTGGGGAGTGGCATCAGGGAGAGCCAGAGAAGGCATCCATTCATACACTCACTACTCTGTCCTGTCTGTGTACAGATCCATACACACCTGCTGATGGACAAGTATGACCAGTACAATCTGCGATGTGGCCCGAGGTCCGACTCGGCCCCATCCCTGTGATGACAGAAACTATGCAATCTAGTGACTACTAATCACTGATCCCTCCTACATCTTTGAAACCCAAAACTGGCTCCCAATTAGGCAGACAAAAACTGGATAGCTGACCCAACGTTTCTAGAACCTCTACTTCTTTTACCTGCAAGTCCATGTAGAAGCAGTTTGTGCTTCTGTAACATCCGTGCTATACAATCTGTCATAAGCCAAAAGCCAATTTAACGGAAACATATATGGAATAGATTGGAGCCACTTCATCACATCAGTGTGGCAGGGGGGATACCCCGCATTGCAAAGATAGCTGCTTAATGCATATCTATACTTCTCTATCATCTAATTAACAGCATACTGGTCTGGAGCGTCTCCAAAATGCTGACTCTAAGGGACAATGCTATGAGCAAAAGAATACTGTCAGGAAATCAAAGGACAGAAATGCGTCAAGGAACAGGAATAATATAGACATCCCTCTAGTCCTGAGCCAAATCTTAGATAAAAGTGAACCTGGTCAAGTTCTTTCACATTCTGATCCACCCTGCTTTACTGTTTTTACACCCTACTAACCCCCCCAAAAGTACCTAATAAAACTAAAGTGGGGCTGGCCCCATAGCCTGAGGGTTAAGAGTGCTAGGTCTCACATGGCCAACTCTGCAGTTCAAATCCTGCCCCTGGCAGCTTGAAAAACATACCAGCACATGTGTGGGAGTGTCCAAAATCCTCCAGAGAAATGGAGGAGAAGGGACTACCCCAAGACCATGGCTCACTGCTTTCTTCTCTGTCTGTCTCTCTGGCAAGTACACATGCCCTCTTGACAATTAAAAAAAGAGATCAGAGTGCTTTTTTGGTATATCTTGTATCCAGGTACTAATGTCTATAACAAGATTTTATCTAAATAATAATATTAAAATTAGTAACTCCTACAACAAAAAATAGCTAACAGTCACAGAGGCTTCACAGGCACAAGCCCTTTCATCAAAACACCTGTGTCCTTAGAACACTATTATGTTCATTAGCAATGAAGAACCCACAGGCCAGAGTTTGTTCAATGGCTGAAAGACAGTGGTGCTGAGAACTGAATGCTAGCCTCATTTCAGAGGCCAATTTCTTTGTTAAACTGTCTTCCCAAGAATCAGAACAGGCAGGTTAAGAACAAAGATCACTTAAAAACCTCATAACAACAACAATCACTATCCAACATTTCAGATTTTTTATCAAAAAAAGAAAACCTCCCTAAAAATGGGCAAATAAAAAAGTTATTCCCCCCCCCCAGGTTTGTGCCATAGGGTATGTGTGCTAAATGGCGAGACAAACAGAGAGAAAGAGATACAGTAAAGGGAAAGTGAGAAATCACCTCCCCCCTCCCCAGGGAGGATGGCCACACCACAATCCCTTCTTTTCCATTTTCTTCTTGGGATTTCAAGCGTGCATGTGCCCGGAATGAATTTTAAGCCACCCGGTCCAGGACTCAAACCAAAGTCAGCCACGTAGGAGTCCAGCACCTTAACCAGCACGTCATCTGCTGGCCCCCCAAAGTTAATTTTTTATATAAAAAATAGTGCTTTAAAAACTGATGGCTGGGGCCAGCAGTTAGCATAATGGCTATGTCACTGGACTCCCACATAGTCGACCGCAGTTCGAGTCCCGGACCTGGTGGCTTAAACTCATGGTAGACGCGTGTGCGTGCATGCCCAAGATCCCGAGAGGAGAATGGAGGAGAAGGGATTGCGGCATGACCATCCCCCCGGGGGGTGATTTCTCGCTGTCTCTCTCTGTCTCTCTGTCTGGCGAACGCACGTGCCCTATAGCAAAAACCTCTCCAAAAAAAAAAAAAAAAACTGATGGCTACTAGATAATAAGTTTGAATTATGAGGCAATTAGAATTTGTTTCATTAATAATAGTAAGCCAGAAGGTTAGATGAGGAAGATTTGTACCTATTCAATTATTTTTGTTTTTTCCTGGCTTTAAATGAAAATCCTCCCTAAGGTTATCTCCTATTAGTGCAACTGTAAGTGAAAGGAAGTAAGTTCATTCTCCCTACTATCTGAGGAGAATTTCTACCTCTTCTGGAAAATTGGTGTCACTGGGAACATGGGGCGCGAACAATATCCTACGAAAGATAGCGAGAATGTACAATGTACCCTCTTCCAGAAATGAACAGTCATCGGTAATGTGGAAATGAAGACATTTCCTACAAAGGAAACATTGACTCAAAGGGATTTGAGATCTGCCAGTAATTACTCTCTGCCTGGAATCTTACTGGAGGCTGCAACCATGACCTCCACTTACCAGACCAAACAGCTGCTCAGAAACACTTCTCACCCACCTATGCTTTTGGCCAGAAGCAAGTGTGGCATGCTACCACACAGCAGTAACTCTGGAGACAGAAAGCCTAGCTCAAGAACAGCTTCCTCATCCCTAACAGATACTACCTTCTCACCCCAAGCCCAGAAGGCTGCCTAGAGGCAACCCGTGAAAGTTCCTGTTACTTAGCAGGAACTCCATTAATTGGTTTTAAAGCAAAAGGCTTTCTGTCTCTAATCACAATGATACCATGTACGCCCTTATAACTTACCATGTTTGTATCACTGTTAAAACAGCTAACATTTACTGAGTGCTTACCACATGCACCATGCCCAAAACTTCATAGGTGACACTCGCAGCAGCCCTAGGTGGGGTTTCAATTACTAACCCCATTTTTCAAATGAGGAACCTGAGCTATAGGAAGTTAAAGTCACGTGACCATGTGAAAGCGCTGGTGTATCAGACCAGGCATTGTCTATGGAAATCCATGCCAGGTATCATTTTACTACATGGCTGCTCAAAATAGAGGAATAGCCCTTGTCTAAAATAAAGTTTTCTGGGAAATTACAGGTATAATAAAGCACCTCTTAATTACTGGTTTCACATTGCTTTTGGTATTATATTTGGTTGGAAAAGGAAGATGGGCAAGCACAGGCAGGAGGCCACCAACCCACACTCAGAGCCCCAAAAATCTGGCAGCAAGGTAGGCAGACAATGAAACGGGGCAGCGGACATCCTTCATAATCCAGAAGCTCCCTAACACCCAGTGCGTGGTAACATTCAGACAAATTATGACCCTGAAAAATGGATTACGATACAAAATTATGTTACAGAAAGTGTTAGACATATTTACCATGTTATTTAAGGAGAAAAAAGCAGGTTGAAACCAAAAGGGGATGAGAGAACAGAAATAAAATTTTAGAATACTACAATATTATACACCAAAATAACTGTCTCTAAGTGATAAAGATTAGTGTTTACTTTGTGCTTCTCTGTTTTCCAATTTTTCCATAAGATAAGCATTATTAGCTGGGATATCAGGAAACATGAAATGAATGAGAAGTGTGTTTACATAGCATGTGTTCAAAGACAGATCTGCTGACGTGTCTACAGGGCAGAATCAAAGTACAAAATCATGTCCACTGTCATGGCGCATAATCAAAGACAGCTCACCCTTTCACATCCAGATTGGTTCAGCTGGTACCACATCCAGGAAACAAACCCTTTTCTACTAATTACTCATAGCCTATGACTCAAGAAAAGAAGTGCAAAGTCCAGCTGGGGAATGCCCAAAATAGAACGTTCTCTAAAGTCTTGAAAGGACAGTCTGAAGAATCCTTTGGACAACCCCAACTATTGGGCCATCAGAAAAGTCGTAACAATTTCTTCTATACAAAAATGTGTCATGACTTTTCTGATGATCCAGTAGATTTCTTCTAAGAGATTAAGGACTGGAACTTTGTCTAAAACATTAAGTACAGTGTAGAAAATAAGTTTCAGCCTCAACTGGTTGAGAAATCTAACCAAACAGACTGTCACTTGAATATACTACTTAAAAAAAAAATAACTGTCACAATATTTACCAATAGCTTATAATAGTGTGTTTGCCTACCTTCAATCCATTCACTATAAGCTGTCACAGAGAACTTCTGACCATCCACGGTATAGAATTCTCTCTGGGCAAGGGCCTTCCCACCACTACTATGATTTTCATAGTTCCTCACAGATTCATTGCAAGATGTGCTTCCACCATCAAGGACACCAACTAAAGCCCAAGCTTGCCTGGAAGGAAAAAGAGCAGGTGCATTTGATTATTTCTCACGTACTGACCCAAATCCTGACATAGATCACAGCAGGGTGCTGTTTAATTCCCATACTTCTTCTTCCTCTTTTTTTAGAAAATTTTTATTTTAGTTTTTGTTTTGCTTTGTATCTCTCACCAGAAAGATACAGAGAGAAAGAGAGAGAGGGAAAGGGAGGAATCACCCCCCGGGGGGTGGGGGGGATGATCACGATATAATCCATTCTCCCTCCTTTCTCCTCGTGAGGTTTTGGTCATGCATGCACATGCGCCAGACATTTTTTCCAAGTGGCCAGGTTCAGGATTCAAACAGTGCAGTTGGCCCTGTGGGATCCAGCCACCTTAACCACTGGTCTCCCATACTTCGTTTTTGCCAATCCCTAAGCTTCATATGAGGTTGTAATTCCAAACCTTGGCTGAAGCACTGATATCAGAGAAGGAAACACACCTGGTTTTCAAATGCTTGTTTGTCCAGCTCTGTAACAGGTAAAACACTCAAGGCTGTGAGTTCAATTAGTCATCGATGTCTCTTTTCAGTACACACCCATCTCACTTATATACTATTATCTCGACAGATCCATTTATTTTCTTTCTCTTAAAATGATCATCACCTGCTTTCTTTTAAACTGTCCTCTACACAGTTCTTAATAGCCTAGTGCATAAGACGATCATGTGGGGAGCTTAAGTTTATCTGCTCTTTGATCCCAATCCAGACCAATCCAGATCATAATTAAAAGTTGGGACTAATATTAGTATGTTTTTAAAATTTTCCAAGGGACTAGAAAGCACAGCTAGACTTGACAACCACTGAGTTTGATCTCTGGTTCTCAACCATCAGTGAACTTCAGAAACACCTGGAGGCAGGTGGTATGGTGGTTAAGGTGCTGGAATTCCCACATGGCTGGCCATGGTTTGAGTCCTGGACCTGGCAGCTTGCTTTCTCACTCTCCCTCCCTCTCTCTCTCTTTCTCTGGAAAAACTCGTGTGAAAAATAATATTAACAATAATAATATTAAATAATTCTTAAAATAAAAAGAAAAGAAAGAAACACCTGGAGGGAGGGCATGTTCAGTCAGTTGCAGGTCCCTCACCCTGAGAGTCTGAGGTGGGACTAGGGAATGTGCATTGCTAACAAATTCACAGGTGATGTTGCTGGTCAGGAGACCACACCTGAGAACTCCTAAATTAGGAACTAGAAGTGAGAGGAGTAATTACCAGCCTCGGTTACACTTCCATAGCCCCAGAGTCCTGCTCTTTCTGGGATCCTCACGTAACTGGTCTAAGGTGGGCCCTAGACATCATGCCCTGCAGGGGGGAAGTCAAGGCTGTGAACCTGCATTAGAGGTTTCATCGTTTTCCTAATTCTGTAGGAAGACTACCCAACAGCTTTTAAATGTTTGATGCTATGTCTATTTTTTGACAGTAATGTATGAGTTGTTGGAAGTCATGACGTATTTTTGTTTTTCTATGCAAAAATGTGTCATGACTTTTCCGACAACCTAATATTTGAAAGATGAGGGACATGCTCAAGCCTGCGTCCATAAATTAAAGAAAAAGGACTACGACTTTAAAAATCCATGAAACTTGCTTTAAGGTTCCTGGTTTAAAACATGGAAAGAAAAATGTTAACTTAGAAAGAAAAAATGCCAAATGTAATCTTTGTCAGACAGATGGCTGAATATGCACAGATAAAAGTTAACTAAGGCATACTCACACCCTTATAAATTCCAGAGCCTCCCCCTGTGGATTAGCTACTTTGGTTAACAATGCTTTATAGTTCTATTTATATCCCTTGAAATAGCAGAAAGAATCAAATAAAGAATGCCTCAACTCATTATCACCTATCTGAGAGGGAAGAATAATAGCAGAGCTTCTTTTATTTACCAGAACTGCCTCAGCAACTATAAGACAATGTGCTATTCTACTGACATTATCTCCAAACACTCCCACTTCCCTCCTCCACTTGAGGAAAATTTCAATGTACTAGAACATTATCTTCAAAGGGGTAAGTGTTTATGTACATTGGAGATAATGTCAATGCAATGGAACGGTTGGCAAAAGATCACAACTCTAATTCCTTGCCCAATCAGTGACAATGTTTTGAAGGGAATTTAGTAACCAGTAGAAAAAGGAACCAAAGAAAGTCAAAATATTTATAGCTGATGATCATGCAAATCTAGGAGTAAGCATGGCACGAAGAAATAAGACTTTGTAATCCCTGGCATTACTGAATAATGAGACAAAGCAGGTCTCTAACTTTGAAAAGACTATGTTTCTATTTTTATGTCTATAAATGACAGACACATGTGCACATGAGCATCGAGATATGGGTAAAGGACATTTGCATTTTTAGTAACAGGTCCAAACTGGAAAGCCGCTCGGATGTCCACCAGTAAACAAACCGGGGTTGAGGCATACAGTAAAAAATAAACAGCAGTGAAAATGAGCCCCCAAACTGTGTGCAAGAACACAAATAACATTCGGTAACAACATAGAGCCAAGAAACATGAAGTTCAAAAACAAGCGAACCCACACTTCAGTGCACCCCGCACATTCAGGAGAGTGGCTGCCTTAGGTGGGGGAGGGAGTGATCAGAAGACACTGAGGGCATCAGTGGGGGTTTCTGGGCTGCTAGCAACATTCTGCTTCTTTACCTGGGTGGCAACCACGATATCACAGGCATCACGTTGACAGATCATTAAGCTCTACAATCTTGTTTTTAGCACTGTCCTGTGTGTGTATTACAGTGCATAAACAATAACCCTCTCCGAGGTTTTATGTGTGGTATTCCCTCTGTCTAGAAAGTCTTCCTTCTTCACTATCTACAGAGCACATTCCTAAACTCCATATATACCTCTTGCCTTCAGGAAAACTGCACTGATTCCCTAGTCCAACTTAGGGGGTCCTTTCACTGAGTGCTCATTAAGCCTGCAACAGCAGCAAGCGCCTCACTGTATGACCATCTCTTTAGGTCTCTATTTATGCACTAGATTAGACCAGAGCCCTGAGACTGTCCTTTCATCTACACATCTACGAATACTCAGCACTTAGCAACTCCTAAATATTCCCTGGGTGAGTGAAAGGCATTTCTACAATGTTACAGGCTCTTTTTCTTCACTCATGTTTGTCTTCTTAACTTTCGCTGGAATTTCTGTAGATAATTTTCCATTCCAACAACCTACTGTCAAAGGAAGCTATAACAGCTAGATCATTTCACAATGTGGGTTTGAGGTCATTTTACTTTTTTTCACAGCCGACACTTCCCAACTTTACCAAGAAGATTCAGCAAAATTAAAACTTCTGTTTTTTGAATTAAATATTGAGCAGCTACTTCCCCCATCTCAAGACTGCATTAAGAAATAATGGCCAATTAGAATACAGCACAATAAATAGTGAAAATGGCTTCTACTATATGCATGAATTTCCAGGCCCCCCCTTCCTCCCTAAGGGAGGGAGCTACAGATCTGTGCCAGTCAAACAAGCAGGCAAAGAATTCCAAAGAAAGAAAGAAAAAGAAACTGTGCATGTTTTACCCCCTTGGATCTTTAGGACAAACGGTAGACCTGAGAATAGATAGTGCTCTATTCGTCCAACTCATGAATTGCTTCAATTAGTCTGAATTTCACATTGTCATCAGAAAGTAATGAAAGGAGGAAGTACCTTCTGAGGCAATTTGCTCTTATAGTGCTTGATGGCTTTTTAAAAGTATTATTTGTTTAATTTTATTTATTGTTGTTAATTACTTTTTTATGTGCTATAGGGCATGTATGCACACCAGAGAGACAGCAAGCCACCCAGGTCTGGAACTTGAACCATGGGTGGCCATGTGGGAGTCCAGCGCCTTCACCACCCTGCCACCTGCTATACCAGATCTCTGTTCTTGTTTCACAAGTCCAACTAGGGCTTCATAAACTGAACCAAGAAAAGAGCTGCTGGATCCCAAAACCTGCCCTCCGGTCCATATTTCAAAGCAAGATTCAACCAAAACTACAAATAGAGCTATTCTGATGCTGAGTCAGGTTGGAGTGTGGTGAGGTTTGTCCCCACCCTCTCCCCTTATGCCTAGACTTTAATACGGAGCAAGAGGGAAAGAACAAGGTAAGACTACCTGTAGCCCAGTCCCTGGATCAGCTGACTTCCCAGTCGGTCCTGGATCATCTGGATAGTTCCCTGTAAAAGGCTCTTAGCTGCCGAATCCCCGACAGCTATGGCCACAATCCGTCCTGGATCCTGCCTTCTCAGAAATTCCTGAAGTCGCCTGCTCTCATTGTGGTATTCGTGGGTATCAAACCTCTCACTTTCTAACATTTTGGCTGTATCTTGGTCGAAGACCCTCACATTGAGGCCCCGGGAAAAGTTCTTTTCAAAGGTGTAGGATCCAAAGGGCAGGCCTGAGGAATTCAGAGTCCTTGCCAACATTGTCCATGACGTCTTCCGGGCCCCATGCAGCTCCAATGTCCCGCCAGCTTCCACACCAATAAACTTCTTGCCAAATATTGGCATACTTTCACCTTCATCTGACTTGCCATACAAGGCAATTGTCGCTTTGGATTTGTAGCGGCATCTTTCTGCTCCAATATGAAGCGCCCCACCATCCTGGATCAGGATGTAACGAGTCCTCAAGGTAATATTTCTGGATCCATCTTTATCATCCCCAAATACAAGCAGCCCTGGAGAGAACAACGCTGTTACAAGCCAACTTCAAAAACATTTTCCTTAGCTATAGAGAAATATATTTCACTTTAAGGGATAAAAAGTACATGTCTCTAATTAAGTTGAGAAAAAGAATTTCCTAAGAGTCTCTTCAGAAAAATCAAACTGGTTTTCAAACACTAAAAAGGAAAGAACAAAGAGTTCATATCTCAACACACTAAAAATGGCTACGAGTACAAATGTCAACCCATTCACTTTAGAAGTAAATCTCTTCCGGGACCAGCAGGTGGTGTAGTGGTTACGGGGCTGGACTCCCACATAGCCGACTGTGGTTTGAGTTTGGAGAAACCACCCCCCAGAGGAGATGGCCACACCACAATCTCTTCTCCATTCTCCTCCCAGGATCTTGGGCACACATGCACATATGCCCAGCATAATTTTCAAGTCACCAGGTCCAGGACTCAAACCACAGTGGACTATGTGGAAGTCCAGCAATATAATTGCTATGCCATCTGCTGGTCCTTGATTTTTCTTTTTATATATGTTAAATCTCCTCACTCTCTATCAGTGATAATAAAGATTTAGCTATGAGAGAACAGCCCCCCTAGAACTATTTCTTGTCAGTAAGTTGAGGGGTCTTGACTTGAATGATTTTCAGGTCTTCATAGGTCTTGAATCCTAGGGTTTTTATCTTAGGAGCTGAGCTCTTCACATCTCCATGGTGAGAGTGACACCACATCCTAAAGGTCATTCAGTCTAAGAATAGTTTCCTACACCAGGAACACTGAGTATCTCCCACAAGAACGCTCGGCGCCACAATTCCCAGACGGGGACCATCACCTACCTCCGTTCTGAATGACTATAGAATGCACTGTCACATCTGAGGTCAGACGGAACAGATCTCCCTCCTTAATAACAACTTGTTTTGCAGAATCTTGTCCTGGATCCCAGTTCCTGAGACGAGGATTCTGATCTGGGCAATTCTCTATAAAAATAATGCAATATCAGTATCACATCTGACCCAACAAAATGGAAAAATACTACTAGCCAAACCCAAGCACTAGCATCATTTAATGCAAATGTGCAAGTCATGTGCTGACGGATTTTTGATTTCTTGCCATTAAAGATGGAAAACCCATCCCTCCCACCCAGCAGAGAAGCATCGAATTCTTTACTTCCTCCCTTTACTTACACATGAAAAAAGTGTGACCACAGGGCTGGCCCTGTAGCACACTGGTTAGGCCCATGGCATCAGGTACCTAATTCCACATGAATGACCAAGGTGTGGATGCCCACACTGAAAGCATGTGCATGCCAGCCCCAAATCCTGACAAGACGGAGAAATGGAGGAAAAAGGACTGTGGAGCGTCTACACCCCACTGGATGGTGCTATGAGGTTCTCTCTCACTTTTCTCACTTTCTTTCTCATGTGCATTCTGGCAATTAAAAAAGAAAAAAAAAATGTTTTGAAAAAGGCCCCCACAAAACTAAGCTGCTGGCATCAAGTTCAGGTCAAACTTTACAAAGTAAAAATGGAGTTCCTTTGAATCAGTGCCAGAAGTAAACCAAGAGTAAAAGGCAAAATTATGAATTGTCAGGACCAGCAGTTAGCGTAATGGCTATGGTGCTGAACTCCCATGTAGTCGACCGCAGTTTGAGTCCCGGACCCGGTGGCTTAAACTCACGCCGGGCACGTGTGCGTGTGTGCGTGCCCAAGATGCCGAGAGGAGAATGGAGGAGAAGGTATTGTGGTATGGCCATCCCCCCCTGGGGGGTGATTTCTCGCTTTCTGTATCTCTGTCCCTCTCTGTCTTTCTGGCAAGTGCACGTGCCCTATAGCACAAACCTCTCAAAAAAAAAAAATTATGAATTGTCCTTGGACTCACATTAGAATGCTGTTATAGAAAAGAACAAATAAAAAACAAAAACTGGGGGCTGGCAGGTGGCATGATGGTTAAGGGTTCTGGACTCCCACATGGCCAACTGAGGTTCGAGTCCTGGACCTGGCAACTTGCTTTCTCACTTTCTCTCTCTCTCATTCTGTCCCTCTCTGGTCAAATTTAAATAAATAAGCAGATAGATAGATAGATAGACAGACAGATACATGGATAAATGAATAAAGTTAAATAAAATAATTCTTAAAAAAAAAGAAAAGAAAATCCTGCTAACTAACATGTTCTCCACATGCGCCTTCCCATGCACAGTGAATCATAAAGCAGGTGATTACTCTCTTCAAGGTGGAAAAACACCACTACCTTTGGTGGTGAGCACTTTCCCAAGGCAACTGCAAGAGACCAGTGGCCAAAGACATGACTTCTCATTTTTGAAGATGAGGAAATTACAGATTAGAGAAGCTAAACCCAAGATTACCTAGCAAAATGAGTGATAGGCAAGTTCCTCTATTAAGATGTGACGTTCTTTACTTGTAAATTTGCTTTCCTAGAACTAGAATTTGCCTCTTGAGTAAGTGATCATGCAAACTTAAAGTAATCAGCACTGTCATGGCTATTTAATTCATGAAACCTTTCATTTCTGCCATCATTTGGAAGGCGGGGGCTCAAACCTTTTGATCAATTAATAACCAAATATTTGTTGAAGATTAATCTGTCCAGTTTTTAGATATTATAAATTTTATAGAGCATAGAGTGAGCTCCCATTCCCTCAGAGTTTATAACCCAGCTTAAGAGAAAAAGTCAGCATGTAGGAAATATTTATGTGCTGAACAATGAGGTGGTTATTTCAGGTGTAAATGACCTCAGACAAAGGAGAATGCAGCTGGAGTAACTGAGGCAGCTACACGGAGAGGGGACACTAGACTGACAACCCTGAAGGATGGACAGCATTTCAATTAAAGGGGCATATGGGAAAGAAAAGAATACTAGCAATACAAACATCTTTGCTATCTGTGCTCACGTGGCAGCTCAGTTAGAATAGCAAGAGGTGGGGTCAACAGGTGGCATGGCAGTGAAGGTGCTGGGCTCCCACTTGGCCAACTGCATTTCAAATACCAGACATGCTTGACATTTGCACCTGGTGTGTGTGTGTGTGCAAGTCCAAAATCCCAGGAGGAGAATGAAGGAGAAGGGATTGCAGTGTGGCCATCCCCCTGGCGGGTTGATTTCTCACTTCCTTCTCTCTCTCTCTCTCTCTCTCTCTCTCTCTCTCTCTCTCTCTGGCAAATGCATATACCCTATGGCAAAAACCTTAAAAAAAAAAAAAAAAGAATAGCAAGAAGTCACCTATATTTAAATAAAGATAGGAATAAATAAGATATGCTTGGGAATCACAGGAAGAAATGCCTTTTGTTAATGTGGAAAGTATACACTAGGGAATAATATGAGAAATGTAGGAAACACAAAGGTATTATTTCACATAAGAAAAAAATTCTGATTCCTCATTTTGAACTTGCAAACTCTTAACGCGAACATCTTCCTATCTCAATGCCCTTGTTCTGCCCTAGGCTTGCGGTTTTTCTTTGAGGTGACAATATCTACAATCAAAATTAGTCTTCCTAGTTAAGTCCTTGGAAATTCTTTCATGGAATTAATTTTTCTTATGACGGTTTCATAACTGTTGATATATAATTTTGATAAATCAATGATCATCACTGTTATACTAAAATCAATCCTTAAATGTATTCCCCATCAAGGAAACAAGAAATCTGTTGAATCTGTTCTGACTTAATATTGGAGATTTGTTGAACTTTCCGTCTACCTCCCTGTTTTCCCAGAAAACATCACGCTGGGATTCTCCATAACATGACATGAGAAGCAAAATTCTCCCATGTAACAAGCATGTACCCGAGCTTTTGAGCTATAGAGCCTGCTACGATGGTTTGATAGCTCCTCTTAATTGCTGATAATTATTCTGCAAGAGGGCATGCTTCATTAGAACCATCACCAAAAATTCATCTGTTTCCTTCCAGTAAAATACACTTGATGAGAAAATGTCTGTTCTGTAGAAAGCACTAAAAAACAGGCCGGTAAGCTCCACATTCCCAGCTACCACTTGCATAGCAGTGAGTTCATTATCAACGTTTCCTAACAGCCATAACCACAACGAGGCTGACTCTGGAGCATTTCAGCATACCCAATCTTTCCACTGATTATCTCCATTTATATTGCCAAAATGTGAAACTAAAGAATGCATCAACAATTCAATCCCTTAGATGGAATATAAAAGCACCAACGCGAAAGCCACAGATCTCAGCTCTGACCTAGCACCCCTCACTACAGATTACTTGGGAAATATGAATCAGTGGCAGTGAACTTGGCTATTCTGCTGCGAAAAGGAGTGAGGAAGTCAATACTATATGCAATGGAAATGAATGCTACCAGTTCAAAAAATGGACTACTGCCTTGGCCCACAAAGACGTTGCTAGAAACAACGTCTTTACTTTAGATCTACCCTTTTAGAAGTATTGATACTACCTCCCTGAGAACCTTAAAATTTACAAAATACCTAAAAAGGCCATGAAAATGGATTAGAATAGTATTCATAAGTCTTATAAACAATAAAGAACTTCTCAATGTTATAACCATGTAAGGAGGCAGATAATTTGATAAAAATCTTTTGTGCATGTTGTGAAAAATGCAGACAAATATGGTGTCTGATCCAGTTACAGCCTCTTCCCTTAGCCATAACCCTGAGCCCTCTAATTTTTAGGTAGGTAAGACAGGATTCTTCTATGAAGCAATTCTTTTTTGGTATTATATTGAAGCTGCTTGGCAATAAGCTTCTTCCAAATGATTCAAAATACTGATACATTACCCACTTGAAAAGATCATCTAGGAAATTAAAATCTCCTTCTGTGATGGCTAAAGTGAGGTGATGAATGGTTTTTAGACAAATGTGTCAGAACTTGCACATCCTGTTGTTTGTTTTTCTTTAAGGATATATATATTATTACTCAGAAATACTTAGAGGCTGTGCAGTGGTGCAGGGGTCAAATGCTCTGGAAAGCTGACCCACATGGGAAAGTCCCAGATTCACATCCAGAGACCTCCCTGGACTAGGTGGGTTGCACATGTGCCCATCAATCCAAGGTTAGTTGGGGCCTTGGGGGTGGCTCATACCATCAGGACTCTACAGGGGGTGCTATCTCTCTGTCTCTTTCTCTAGCTCATGGAAGAAAGAGATAAATTAACTTAATATACATATATTTAAAGCTTCCTTTTTGGAACTGTCTCCCAAGCCCACTTTAAAATACAAATTTTATTTTTAGTCACTTAAAAAAAAATCAAATCTAGTTTATCATTAAATTTATGACAAAAAATTGTTGGCAGTTCAAAAATCATGTATACCACAAGAATGAAATTGTGTTACCATGAGAATTCAGTTAAGATTCAAAACCTTTCTAAAAGAACTGTTCTAAGAACTTTTTGGTTGTTGGGACAAAGTGGCAAAATGGAAATAAAGAGTCATCCTTACTTTTCTAATTTCCAGTGGATTCCTTGAACAATTGCTCTCTCACTCATAAGATGGTATTCCTCACATTACCTAGCTGTACGTGCCAGGCTATCAGAAAAGTCGTGACACATTTTTACATAGAAAAACATACAAAAGAGTAATGTCATGACTTTTCTGATCACCCAATAGTTTACAACGACCAAGTTAAATCTCTTAAAAAATTATTCTACTACTTCCTCCCCTTCTTCCCCCTCCTAAAATACGTCCTTCGTGCACACACTTACCATCTGGAGCATATTTTGAGGATATTCCTAAAATGACTGCAAGTGCAACAAAAAATGAAAAACTAGTAATAGCAAAGCAAATGAAAGTATTTTTGTGCCTCTTCTGCTTTCGGCTTTCTCTCTGGGCTTGCTGTTCTTCCGGAGAGAATGCAAATGTTGCCCGGGCTTCCTGTCTGAGGGAGGTAAGTTTGGCTGAAGCTGGGCTTTTTGGAGGAGGAGGAGGACGAAGTGGAACCACCTTCCCAGGGACATAACCGGAAGGCGATGGGTGCTTCCATTCTGATGTTGTAGAAAAGCAGGGGAGTGTCCCCTGGAGTCAGCGGCATACATGATACTATGTCACTGTGGAGGAGGAAAAAAAAAAGGTTCACAATGTGTAGATTATGTTTTTAAAAGCATTTTTGAAACTGTAGTAACGTAACATAAAATATGCCATTTTAACCATTTTTTTAGAGAGATTTTTGCTAGAGGGCCTTTGAGCTCACTAGAGAGACACACAGAGAGAAAGTAAGAAATCACTCGCAGGGGATGGCCACACCACAATCCTTTCTCCTCCACTGTCCACTCAAGTGAGTTTCAAGGCCCCCCCAGGTCAAGGACTTCAACCCAGTCGGCCATGTGGGAGTCCAGTGCCTTCATCACTAAGCCACCTGCTGGCCCTCACTTTAACCATTTTTAAGGGTACAGTTCAGTGACATTAAATATATTTCCAAAGTTGTACATCACCACTATCCATTTCTAGAACTTTTTGTCATGCTAAACAGAAACCCCATACCCACTGAAGAATTCTCCATGTCCCCTAGCTCCTGTTAACCTCTATACTGACTTTTAAAAGATGTCAAGAAAGCTTACATCCCTGAAGTAATAGCCTATGTTGACAACTATCTTCACTAATTGTCTTTTTTTTTGGGGGGGGTAGTTTTCTTTTGCTATAGGGCACATGCGCTCGCCAGACAGACAGAGAGAGACAGAGAGATAGAAAGCGAGAAATCACCCCCCCCGGGGGGGGGGTGGCCTGGCCACGCCACAATCCCATCTCCTCCATGCTCCTCTCGGGATCTTGGGCACACACACACACGCGCCCGGTGTGAGTTTTAAGCCACCAGGTTCGGGGCATGAACCGCAGTCAACTACATGGGAGTCCAGCAACATACCATTATGCTAACAGCTGGTCCCTCACTCATTGTCACTTTTTTTTTTTAAAGAGATTTAGGCTATAGGGCAGGTGTGCTCATTGGAGAGACAGAGAGAGAAATGAGAAATTACCCCCCCCCTCAAAGGGGATGGCCATGCCACAATCCCTTCTCTTCCATTCCCCTCTTGGGATCTTGTGCTACTGCTTCTCAGCCTCGGCTCCTCAGTATAATCACCTGCTAATGCTAATACCCAGTGCCACACCCCAAGACAATTCAATCAGGATCCTTGGGCTTGGGATCCAAGACTCTGCGGCTTTTCTATGTTCCCCAGGTGGCCTGAATGAGCATCTAGATTGAGAATCATTGTTCTATGCCAATAGTTCTCAATTTTCAGTGTGATAAGAACCACTAGGAAAGCTTATTAAGACTGTAATTCCTGGGCTCTCCACCTCTGTGATTCTGGCTCAGTTGGTGAAAAATACCTTGATGATGGGAACCAGCAGTTAGCGTAATGGCTGTGTCGCTGGACTCCCACGTAGTTGACCGCGGTTTGGGTCCCGGACCCGGTGGCTTAAAACTCACGCCGGGCGCGTGTGCGTGCATGCCCAAGATCCCGAGAGGAGAAGGGATTGCGGCATGACCATCCCCCCTGGGGGGTGATTTCTCGCTTTCTGTCTCTATGTCTCTCTCTGTCTGTCTGGCGAGCGCACGCGCCCTACAGTGAAAATCTCTCCCCCCCCCCAAAAAAAAAAATACCTTGATGACATGAGAAGCAAGTGGTCATGCTTTTCTTTTTTTGTTCAAGACAAAAGCATATACATATGAGAACAAGAAACAGAGAAAGAGAGAGAGAGAAGAGTACACTCCACAGAGCCTGGTTATGCTGAGATCCCATTCCTCTAGCTCACCAGGGTCCTGGGCCTGGGCACAAGTGCACATGTCTAGTGGGTTTTCAGGTCCACTGGGATTTGAGTCATGGTTGGCATATGGCTTTCAGCTCTGCAGTCTGTAATATATGCCATGACTGAGCCACAGAGGCTGGTCCATATGGTCACACTTTAAAGTACCATTAGTCTAAGTCCCTCACATTGAAGTTAAAAACCCACAGGTCATGTGACATCTGCAAGGTGGCCCTAAACAGTCCCAACAGACAGGCATTCATGTTTGTGTGTTTAATTTCCCAACTAGATTTATATTGCATAGTTTTCATATTTCTACCTATATAGTTAACTGACTTTACATTCTAAATTCATTTAATGAGAAAGCTTCAAGTCTATCTTTTTTAATTCTGAAATTTTGTTTAAGACATTTGGGTCCTGGTGGTGGCATAGTGGTAATGCAACTGCACTCTCATGAGAAAGGTCCTGGGTTCCTGTGCAAGGACCTTTCTGAGTGCTCCAGGCATGTCAGCATGTGCCTGTAATCCAGGCTGGCTAAGCCTGAGGATGGGTCGTGGCATGGGGGGTTCCTATTTCTCTGACCTTCTCTCTCATTCTCTCTCTCTGTCATGGTAATATAAATGAAACTTTCCTAAAAAGTAAACGTTCAAATATTATGGTTAAGACAAGGTAAAATAGCTAAACAATAGCTAATAAGGACTGGACGGTGGTGATGCAATAATGTGACGCTGATGCACATAGTGAGGTTCAGGGTTTGCATCCAGGGATCTCTGTGAGCATGCTACGCACGTGCATACCCATGATCTGGGTCAGGACAGGGATCGCGGCACCAAGATCTTGCTGGGACTACTGTCTCTCTCTCACTTGCTCTCCCTGCCTCTCTCACTCATGGAAGAAATAAATTTCTTTTTAAAAATAGCTAATATACAATGTCAGACACTGCTCTAAATACTTTAGGAGTCATAAACTCATTTAATAAATTTAGCACAACAAATCTGTATGTAGGTACCATTCTCCCCATTTACACATTAGGACAACTAAGGCCTAGAAAGGTTAATTAACCCAGGGGTCATACAGCTTAAATCTAAGTATGCTGACCCTGAAGTCTAAGCTCCTAACAGTTACACTACTGTCTTTGTAAACAATCGAGAGCCAAATACTTCACGGAATGAGTCTCAAAGATATAACTACACTCTGTGCTGAGTCTAAATGGCATATTCATTTACTCAGGAATTTTTTGCATAGTTCACTAGACTCTACGTGATTCTTTTTTTTTAATCTAAGTGAAACTGACACGAAAAGGGAAGTCCTTTTTTATTTTTTATGTTCTTTACAATAAGCACTTAAAAATAAGTTTTTGAATGGAAGAATTGGTCTGGGTAGTTTCCTGTTCTTTCTTTCCTTTTTTTTTTTTTTTTTAAAGACCAAGTCTCCCATGTCCGGATTCTCCTGCCTCAACCTCCCAGCATAATTGGGTTGTCAGAAAAGTCATGATGCATTTTTGCATAGAAAAAGAGAAAAAATGTCATGACTTTTCCAGCAACCCCAATACATGTACACTGCACCACGCCGGGCTGTCTTTTAAGATAAGTTCTCACTATATTGTCCAGGGCAGCCCTAGATTTGTGACCCTCCTGCCTCAGCTTCTCCAAGGGCTGGGATTACAGCCATACTCTACCACATGCAACCATCAGGTTGGACCAGAAATCGAACCTTGGCCTCCCATGTGGTCCCAGCCTGTGGAACACAACAGCTTAGCAGTGTATACCACCATGACTAAGCCTAAAAAGTATCCGTTTTTTTTATTCTATTAATATGCTAAATCTAGGTAGGAAGGGGAAGGAGAAGGGTGGAAGGAAGGAAATCAAAGAAATTGAAGAGGAGGAAGGGGAAGGGAGGGAGGGAGGACGGACTAGCTATACCACAAAAGGTCCTTATTGCAATGACTGTGGATACGTAAGATGTGCTCAGAAGCCTGACAAAGATGATGTTCCACCTGCTCCATTATATTTCTTCCTCAGCAGCCAGAGCATCTGAGTCATCACCTGACTTCATTCCATACCCTTACAATTAATCTCTCTCATCTTCTGCCAAACAATGAACAAGATTCTAGTCACTAGGGCACCTCAAACCATCAGCAAACTCATTCAATGCAAAATGATCATTACAGAAGCAACAAATAAACATTCCCAGGACCCAAATATCCTGAAAATTAATGACAGGCAGGGAATCTGACCAGGAATTGCTGCTTTTACATGGGACAAAGAATGTTCAGAGTCATGTGTTTGGCAAAAAACACTTGGTTTATAGGAGTTAGTTTCTAAACAAAAGCTATTTATAATAGATAAAGTTTTTAAGCTTCATGATCTAAGAAAAACAAGGGCATTCCAGGTGCTATGGAAGAAAACTGCTGCATGTCCCAAGCAGCAGACCAGGATAATGGATACATCCTGCCTGAAAAGAATGAAACAAAGACCTCTTATTGATCATGGATTAAGATTAACACAGAAAGGACCAAACTAGATATTCTTGAGTGCCAGCTCCCCAAGGGTGGGAGGGGAACCATGACTATAATCTGCTCTGAAAGGGAATGGGAATCTTTTGTTTCTGAGGCTACAATCATCTGATACTTCATTGTTTCAGGGTGAGAAAGGCTGTTATTACTTAACAGGATGGAGAGCCCTTTTGTGGGAGACAATAGTTGTACTCAGCATAAAATAAAGGCAGCCAGAGGCTAAATGAAGTCCCAGCCCCTGGGACTAATTTGAGTCTTCACATCACAGAATGATAGCCTAACTCGAAAATCCAGATAGATCTGTGAAAAAAATTAGTCCACAAATGAAAAATAACTCTGGTTGTGTGTATGTGTGTGTTTCTATAGACCATATAATTCTGCACAAGGGTTATAGAAAACACTCATATTTATATTCTGAGTCCATTAACTCTATTTTACTGAAAAACATTAAACACATTAAAATTTGCATTTAAAGCACCAAATACAATTTAAAAGCATTACATTTGTATTAAAAGCAGCAAATATATTTTTCCAAGAGATAACACATTATTGCAACCACATTTTAGGGTAAAATAACCAAAAAAAAATCACATTTTTAAGCAGATTTGCCCCTGAATTAAGATTTTCTTTTTAAATCTCAGCATCAAGTACATCGCTTTAAGATTTCATTTTACAATTATGTGTTTATTAGGCATAGTATCACGAAAATCAGTTACTCAAAAATCAACACATTGATAGTTATTAGATCTAAACTATTCATAGAAAAACCTGGCATTTCACTCATTCAATAAG